AATGGGTTGATGCGCCACGTACCAATTTTAATCATAGACACGAAAGTACAGTATCTGTGAATCGGTTCTAGATAAGCAATCTCACATCATCTGGGAATCGGTTTGCCACCAATTTTCATCATGCACACGACGATATGTATTTACATCATCTGCGCCCGAATCGGTTCGCCGCCGATTTTTTCTACGGGTAGACACGGCGATCTGTTGATTGCAAATCTGTCGCAAGGGCGTTCTGGGCAGCTTCTTTCACGGCAGTCATACGGTCTCTGAAATGACCGTCCGTGATGACAAAAGCTAGAACGGGTTTCCTCCCTTTTGAAAAATCAAACTTTGTGTCTTTATGTCTCTTTAATAGTGCTAAAGTGGCAGCCTTTTTATAACACAGAAGTTACGTAATCTAACAAATTCAGCATTCGGGAACTTTCTTATTGGATAGCAGCTAAAAATAGCTTGTTTTCGTGATATTGTGAGATAGGCAGATAACGGATCTCAACCGTTTTTGTGGTGTCATTTCGAATTACTAGATCTTTTTTTTTATGGTCGTCAACTCAATTTCAACTTATATACTGGTGCTTGACGACAATTAAAGATGTATTAATTCGAAACAACATCGCAAAAATAGTCGAGATCCGCGATATCAAGAACACAAGCTATTTTTAGCGGGTTTTCATATGTCGGGAAAATCCCAGACGATCGGGGATTTTTTTAGGGTCGGCAAAAAGGGAAAGCCCCCATCGTCTGGGGTTTTCCCGACATATGAAAACCAGGCTTAACCAATAAGAAAGTTTGCGGACCCTGACGTTATAAGATGACGTAACCGCTGTGTTATAAATAGACTGCCACTTTAGCACTATAAAAGAGACATCACGACACAAATATTGATTTTTCACGAAACGGACGACGCCAGTTGTAGTTTTTTGTCATCACAGACGGTCACTGCGTTGATTACATTTCAGAGACAGCACGGTTACCGTGAGAGAAGCTGCCCAGGAGGTCCTTGGAACAGCCCTGCTTTAACCGCCCGGTAATAGATTTTTATTCAACAGATCGCCGTGGCTTCCCGTGCAGATGATGTACATATCGTCGTGTCCATGACGAAACGTGGTGGCGAACAGTTTGACGGAAATGTACACTTCGCCTTGTCTTTCCTTGACGTACAGATCACCGTACGCCGAAAATTGCCGGCGAAAGCAGTTCACAGATGCTGTACATACCGTCGTGTCAATGATGATCATTGGTGGCAAGCCTACTCACGGGAATGTTCAGATCGTCTTCTGTCCTTGATCAAAATTGGTGGCGAATGAGATCGCTTTATCTACCTTCGACGAAGACTGCTGGCGAACCTATTCACGGTTGCTGTACATTCGTGTCTATGATGAAAATTGGTACGTAGCGCACCAACTGATTCACGAAATGGAAATTGGTGTTCGAAGCGCCGATTCCCGGAAATGAACAGATCGCCGTTCCGAAACTGAGAGAGAAAAAAACCCCTCTCCCTCCTCTGCTCTTCGCAACTCGTTGTCAGCGATGTCACCGCTTCGTGGCTCGCTTGCTCTTTCGCAAAGAGAAATTTCAAGAGAAACCTCTGGGACCAGGATAGCGGTGAAACATTTCGCAGATGATTTGAAATTCATCGAACAGGTAGTCCATACAGATGGACAAGGTCATAGTCACCGGAGGTTTAGGGGCCGACTACGTTCCTCCCTCACTGCCTGTCGAACTACGAAGGTGGTTTTGCGTGCATTGCGGACTTTCAGGTAGTCCATGTAGATGGACAAGATCATAGTCATCGAAGGCTTAGGGGCCGACTATGTATCTCCCTCACTGCCTGTACACATCGATCCAAACGAATGACGACGTGGTCGTTGCCCAATGTGTTGTGTTGAGCAGACGTACAGAAAAAAAAACCAAAAACCAAAACAACAACAACAACAACAAAAAAAAACAATAGGATTGTTATAAAAGGAAGGTACTAATGGGACACATAACAGTTATAAGCAGCACTACAAGACAACAGTTCGTTAGAACTATATCTTTTCAAGAAAAATTTTTTGAAGTATCTCACGAGGGACTTAACTTCATGCAGACCAGCGAATGTCCGATGGAAGAGGAATGCGAGATCCACGAAGTTGACAAGGAAGAGGAGCCCATGGATACGAGCAACGACTCGTCGATGGAAGGGCAGTGGCTGAGAGTCGCCGGTGATGTATTCTATGAGAAGCGTCCTCAAGCCATGGATGTGAGCGGCTCTCCGACAGAGTGGCCCAGTGACCGCAGAGTTATCGATGCGTTGAAAACGTTCATTCAAAAAACTGTGTGCGATCAATTCATAAATACCGAGACTACCATGAAAAAGCAACTCAATGGGCCTTTTGTATTGGACATGATGATAATGGAACAAATTTGCTGTTTGATGCAGGCAAAGCTGCAAGAGCGCCTTTGTTGTACAAAGCAGACAATGCAGTCTCCTATCATGGGACGTGTAATTTGCTTGATGGGGCTGCGAACGAGCGCAAGATTAGTGCAAAATATGATGGAAGATATTAACGGGACAGTGGACAATATAATAAGCGAAATCTTCCCGACAATGAGGCGCTGAAGTCAAGAGACATTTCCGTTGAAAAGAAGAACACTTGCACTCTTTTGATTATTTTCGTATCAAGCGGGTCTGGAGAGACAACGGCAACGCAAGCAATGTGTCTTTCACTTAAAAATTTTGTAACAAAGTAGAGTTAAGTATGGAAATGTTTTTATTGTCATGAATAGTGCTACATGCAATGCATTAAAGGAAGAGTTGATGTACAATAAGCTTTGAGTAAATGCTTATCAAGATAAGATTTTGTGATGCGATCGGACCTTCTGACTGTAAGACAAACTTAAAGCAAGGGGCACACATACACCAACCCACGGTCTGGGCAGTACCTCACGCATGTGCACAGCCATATTACTCGGGCAGTGGCAGCCATGGACAGCTGTTTCGCCCTTCTTCGGGCTCATCAGCATGGCATAGCCGTCGGGTCAATGAACAGTGAAAATCTCCGTGTATCAAAGACCCTTCTGACTGTAGTAGGTTCGATTGCCACGATAACTGGAGATGATTTCCCTCAGGTAGTGTGGGTATATTTGAAAGTGTAGTAAGAGGCCCTTTTAAGTTGGTTTCTCTAATAGAAGAAGAAATTCGATGTCTAACTTGGTCAAGGGTCGTTTTCAATACTGAAAATACTGTACAAGGCCTGATTTTTAGTGTTAATAAAAGTCTGCACGTGTACAATTCTCATTATTTTACTTAAAATTTAGCTGGAATGATAGGCTAACCCTTTAACTGAAAGAATCCGCTTTATAATGTTAAAGAATTCGTCTTTTTAACTAACGAAATGACGATTTTAGTCACTCAGCTGTGCCAAAGTCGCCCGTTTTCTCTATTATTATGCCATTTTCTTGGCACATTTCTGCCTGTTTAGCCCACCTCAACGGCTCCGCGGTGATATGCGAGAATGTCCAACCAGTTCTCCCGAAGTCTTCTGGATAATGATTTTTCCTGGGGATAGTGAAGATGATGTGAACTGTGAAAATACAAATTTAAATGAAGATATGCTGGTCGCAGTGGTAATTACAATTTAAGCAATTGCAAATTAATCCGAAAAAATTTCCGGACCTCATCAAATTGGCCTGCTTGCAATGAATAGGTCTTCATAGCTTAAAGGGTAGGTCGAGGTAGGGCACTGCAGCGCTAAAACAGACGCCATGGGTTCGAATCCTGTTAAAGTCCCGAAATTTTTTTCGGCTTTAATATTTGCAATTGCTAAAAGCGACGATAATACTCTTCACTTAAAATCCAGGGATAAGATAGGGATAGTCTTACCCAGCTTTTCCTCGTGCGAGGGCAGTGGAACCGCCAAAATTTTCCTAGTCCGAAATGTCATACGTTAACGGGGTGAAGACAGGTGACATTTTCCCCGATCGTAGCCCAAGCTCCAATAGCCTGCGCGCAGACCCTTTAAACCTTTAAACGGACTATATCCACACTATATGCGATACGTGGGCCGGCTGCACCGCTAGCAGGCTAAATAGTCAGGTGGCTAAAGGCTCAGATCTATACAGAGCGGACAAAAGCACCAAACTTTGCATGGTTGTAGCTTAGGGTATGTTAGTCAATATTAGGATCGGTGCCCACAGCTACCTCTTCAGGATTTGCAGCAACTGCTCGCTGAAGTTCTTCAACAACCTTCCATGATGGGTGGCCTGTGCCGAAAATTGCTATCAATTGTTTTCTGCCATTTTTTGATGAAAATCACATAAAAAGGGAAGTAGATGAAAAAAAAAACTGTCTTAACACTATTATTATTGAAACCAATGACTAAAACAAGTCAACTTAATGATATAGCAATTATGATATACCATGGTGGGTATCCTGTGCTACAAATATCAATTCCTTGATTTTTGCCATTATTTTGATGAAAATCACATGAAAGACAAAAAAATAAAAAAAGAAATTGTATTATTATTAAAACCAATGACAAAAAAAAGTCAACTAAATGGAAAATCCAAGGAAGATGTTTTCAGACGTGTACTCAGTCCCAAATAGCCTTTCAAGATGGCGGCTTGAAGGTGTCTTTTCATGGACTGTAAGTATCTCCTAGAATAAATTGCCGTTTTTTAGGGGAAATTGTGCACAATTTGAATTACGACAGGTTTAAGTGAAGTTTTCAGCTCTTCTTGGGGATAAATTTGAAATCGAAAGCTACATTTTCGCTTCATATTTTGTGCCGATTATGAATGACTATATTGAGTTTATTGACTTACTGGTTAGTTAAAGGTTTCTGAAGCTGATATGTTTTCTACACACCAGGATGGATATTAACTGGGATCGTTGTTATATTTGCCAAGAATCAACAAAAGAAGATTTGAGAAGCCCACTGGTTTAACGTTACAAGCATTAATTTATAGAACGCTCCGTGAAAATGTACTAAAAAGGCTGAAGGGCGAAATAGGCATACAAGTCAGAGGAACGCAAGAAGAAGAGTGGAGCAGCCTGGAAGGTCGAGGAAGACGAGAAATTAAATAAATCAAGAGCATTTGTTGAACTCACTGAGTACAGAACAAATGCAGTGGACAATGATACACATTTCTTTATACTTGCCGAACTTCATATTAAGCTGTATTCGTTACAAACAGAGGCACACACTTTGCAGTCCCGCTATAGTGTCAGTCTTACAAGCTCGTTTGGTGCTACAATCCCCAACTGGCTCTTTCTGATCTGCTTCAACATGCTTTTTTCTCTTTTCTAGTTTGCTTTTTCTAATTTGGACGTAAGGTGACAGGGTTGATGCCACTTTGCACTTCAGTAACGTGTTTACTACTGTAGTGATTTCAATATGAAACTTAATTGCAACAAGACGGCATAGTCCTGTTTCTTGAATTCTAGTAAATTGTCAAGGAGCGTTCTATAAATAATTTTTCCGTTAAATTAATGGGTTTCTCAGATCCTCTCTTTTCGATTCTCACCCTAGGTAAATATGACAACGATCCCAACTGATTTCCATCTTGGTGTGTAGAAACTAGTTTAAACTCAATCATGATAAGACTGAAATCATGCTTATCTTGTCGATGTACCGTACTCGTCCACCCTTTAGCGACGTCATTAAGGGTAATGCAAGGCTAAGAACCACCACCAACAAAGCCTGGGAGTAGTATTTGATGACAACTTGCTGTTTGACGCACACGTCTCAGCATTCTTTTGCAGATTATCGTTTCACCAACTCAGGAATTTATCAAAGATAAGAAAGTGTCTCACACGGGAGTCTAGCGAAATTGCAGTGCATGCTTTTATTACATCTAAAACAGACTATTAATTGCAATTCTTTGCTCTATGGTTGTACGAAAATGCACTTGAAGGAACTTTTAATAATATGTTCAGAACACTGCCTCGAGGATCGTTACTCGGACTCGTAAACTTTGCGAACACATCATTTATTTGACCTTCACTGGCTTCCTGTTAGTTATCATGTTGTTTTTATAAACTTATTTTGTCAGTTTTCAAATCACTTAATACCCTTCCATCTAGCTATCTAGCGGACAGTTATCGAAGGCCTTCCAGGAACTTGTGGTCCGCATCTCAGCAGCTCTTAGAACAACCTCGAAAACTCACGGGGAAAAGACTTTTTCAGTGTGCCCCCCCCCCCCCCTTAAACCGTGGAACTCACTACCATTAGCTAGATTTTCACAAGTCACCATCTTTAGCCAGTTGAAAGAAAGGACTGAGAACATATCTTTTTACGCAATTTTTAGAGAGTAAGTCAGTACTTTTGTAAAACGTCTTTAATATCTGCAGATCATATACCTATACTTATAGAATGTATATTTAGTTTTTTGCACGACTTATTATCATTATATATAAACTTTAAAGGCAAAATAATTTTAAAACAGATGAATTCTTGTTTCCTTCTCTTGTTCTTTGTGAATTTCAAATAGATTTTAATACATGTTATTTCATTCTCGAGATATAATTTTTTTTCCTCTTTAACATTGTAAAACACCATGTGCGCAGGATATGAGCGCTATAGAAAGAAGCTATTTCAGGAGCCCATCATGGGCTCCTGGCTATTTTTACTATTATTAATTTTAACCAGTACTAAAATAAACTCAGTATAGTCATTCATAATCGGCACAAAATGTGAAGAGAAAATGTGGCGTTCGATAACAAATTTATCACCAGGAAGAACTTAAAATTCACTTAAACCTGTCGTGATTCAAATTGTATACAATTTCTCCTAAAAAACGGCAATTTATTCTAGGAGATACTTACGGTCCATGAAAAGACACAGCCGCCACCTTGAAAGGCTATTTGGGACTGAGTACGCGTCTGACAACATCTTCCTTGGATTTTCCATTTAGTTGGCATGTTTTTTTTTCATTGGTTTCAATAATAATACAATTTATTTTTTATTTTCATGTCCTTCATGTGATTTTCATCAAAATAATGGCAAAAAAAGGAATTGATTTTTTTAGCACAGGGAACCCACCATGGTACATCGTAATTGCTATATCATTAAGTCGACTTGTTTTAGTCATTGGTTTCAATAATAATGGTATCAATACAGTTTCTTTTTCCATTTACTTCCCTTTTTATGTGATTTTTATCAAAAAAACGGCAAAAAACAAGTGATTGTAATTTTCGGCACAGGGCACCCATCATGGAAGGTTGTTGAAGAACTTCAGCAAGCAGTTGCTGCAAATCCTGAAGAGGTAGCTGTGGGCACCGATCCTAATATTGACTAACATACCCTAAGCTACAACCATGCAAAGTTTGGTTCTTTTGTCCGCTCTGTATAGATCTCGCCAAAATTTTGCACTAAGCCACCGGACTAAAAGCTCCAAATATTACCACAAAAAAATATGAATAAAGGTCCCAGTCCCCGAACTCGGTTACACAGAAGGCATGGGAACGAGCGAATTATCTTTTTTCCAACATGGCGGATGCTGGTGCACGAGTAGCACAGGGAGAATTGCTCATCAACCAATTCCAGTGGGTAGAAATATTTTTTTGTTCCTTCTTAAGTATTCAATGGATAGTTTTCATCACCTTTGTTAGTTACTTTGCATAGGTTTGGCTGGCTGGGTTTATAATTCAAAACTGTGCATTCACTATTCAACATTCGTTTTTCGTATAATATTCAACTTCTCTAATTCAACATTGTGTATTAACAATTTCACGTCCAGATTTCAAATACTATTCACATGCAAATATTTTTTTATTACACTACGACGTTGTTTGAAAACGATGAGTCTCAAAATTAAGCTTACATAGCTTGTGTGAAGGTTTTTATGTGTATTAAGCTAGTGTCAATTATAAGTATTTTACAAACAACATTTGAAAATTCATCTGAACACAAATATGACATTTTCACCAAGATGTCCATTTGTCAACAAGATGCACAGGGAGTACAATCTGTATTTGCCCAAAGTTGAGTTGTCTCCTTTGCAGATGTTATTTTGGTGGTTAATGAAGTCATTTTGATACAAGTTGTTTTGATACCAGTTTATTTAGTAGACAGAATAACAATGAGCTCATCCCCTAGTGAATTAGCCCCGTATAAGTTTGCTCCCTACTTTCTAAGTTCACCATGCAATGGAATAACTCCAGATTCTAGTCAAATCACACATTTAGACATTTATTTAAAACATACCTGTGAATTGGCTTGGGTTATCGAAGGAAATCTGTGTAATGAAAGTGAGGAACACTTCAATAAGAAAACACCATCTACTTATTTGAAATCCAACCTTCAATTTCAATACAAAAAGCCTGCACTTATCTTAAATAAAAAAGGAAAATCTAAGTCTAAAGTCATGTATCATACTAGCCAAGCTTGTGTCTCTTGTTTGGCCTGTCAACACTTTATATTCTACTCATAATTGACCTGAGATTAAACAATCACTTGGCGCCAATTGGTTCTCTGGTAATGTGCACTTGATCTCCCACTGGTATTTGTGAACAAAACGAAAGGAATTTAACCGCTTGCTTCAGCAGATGTTCATAGGGAAGAAATGCATGACAAAGCCCTAAGAACATCTGTGTGGTGGTAAAAGTTGAATTTCAAACTCTAGGATTGGGGTTAGGGTTGAAGATACTAGATCTTTGATCACACCTCCTCACCTGCAATTTGAACCAAAATCTCGGCTGAGATCAAGGGTTGCAAGGCGTATTACAGATCACCAGCCATCCAGGTACAAAACTCAGGACAGATCAACACCTCAATGTGACAGGCCCTCTAGAATTCATATAGTGAGTGCTGTTGTAGGATTCAGTAAGTTAGAAGTATTGATGCAGTCTACACTGTTTCATATTAGCTTGGGGAACTCTTTAAGTTGTCAGAGGATACTGTAACATTTATTTTCTGCAGGCATTTTAAAGTATATTTAAGGTCATATATCCAAATAAATGGCAATGAGTTAAATCAAGTTTTAATTGTCAATAATGCTGCGAGTAGTAATGACAGATTATGTGCAGTGGTGAAATTTTGCACAATTTGACCTCAAATCATCTTATCATATAACTGTAATTCAAGGAAAATTGAGTGATTTGTACAAAAATTGCTAAAGTAAGCAATTAATTCTAAAGTTTATTAAGCTTTTCCAAGCTTTTTCACTAATAATATATTTATTTTTATTTCACTATCAATTTCACTTGCAGGTAGTGCCATTTCCCCATTCAGGGAGGTTCTATTAAGCAGTAGGAAAAACTGAAAGAAGAAAAGCAACAGAACAAGAAAATGAAATCTGATGAAGTTCATTTACAAAAAGCAAAGAAGAAAGACCATGACAGACACAGTGAGGAAGACCAAGAAAAGCAAGATTCAACAAAGAAAAGAAAAACTGAAGAAAACTATCCTGATAAAAGAAAATTAATAAAAAAGCAGAAGAAAAGCAAGAAGGTTAAAGAGCATACAGCACTGTTTGGTTCTAATGAAAGTATAAAGGAATTAAAAGAGAAAAATACAGATAAATTTTCTGACAGAAAATGGTATGAATGTACCACACATTTTGCAGCCTTGAATGAAGGTAGCGACTTCAAAGAAATCTCTGACAGTTTCAGCAGTAGTAAGAAAAAGAAGAAACAGAAAGAAGAAAGGGAGATTTATTTTGCTCAGGAGTCAGAAGAAATGGCCAAGTCAGAACTCAAACATAAAGAAAAGAAAAGGAAATCAAAAAAGGAGATAAGTGTGGAAGGTGACTTGAAAATTGCTTGCAGTGATGGGAGTGTAGATAACAGACAGAAAAGGAGAAAGCAAAAAGGAGAAACAGAAAGCGAATACTCGCTGGATATCATAAGAAGGGAAAAGGAAGACGCTGAAATCTTAGTTGGTGATAATGATCAAGTCAGTGAATTGACAGATGTTGTTAAGAAGAAGAAGAAGAAGAAAAAGTTTGATTATGGTGATAATGTTGATAACAGCAAGAAGACAAGAAAAAGAAAAGCAGAACCAGAAGAAGAATACACCCTGGACGTTGACAATAGAAATAAAAATGAAGTCAATGGAGAGTCAGAAGCTGTCAAAAAGAAGAAGAAAAAGAAACCAAGAGATGATCCAGGAGGGAACTCCAAACCAGCTATACATCCAGGTCTTAGTTACTTACGTACATGGAATAATGACAAACAAAATTGGAACTTTAAGAAAGTGCGTCAAGTCTGGCTTCTTCAGAATATGTTTGACCAACAACAGGTCAGTAAAGCTAAATGTATCTGCTTTTCTTTTTCATTATGTTTCCCCTTATGTTTTAACCATTTTTTCCCTAAAATATGCCAATTTTATTAAAAAAGATCCAAGAACATGGTAGGTCCACTGAAGGATATAAAGACTAGCCTGACTGCACAGGGTGCAGGAGTTATTTGTGGCCTTAATTGCACTTAAATTTTTCAGTTGGCTGCAACAATCACCTTTGTTTGCTGTAGAATCACCCTGTTACATTTTTGTTGTGCAACACATTTACGTACAGCTGCAAACCAAAAGGACTGATGAGCCAATATCGGCTTAGAGTGTATACTAAACACTTAATGACTGGTTCCGAGGGAAATAGTTAATTTTGTTTCCTGAGAGTCTCATTGTTTGACAACATTGAGAATTGAGGTAACAAAATTAACTGTTTCCTGAAAAACCAGTCTGTAAGTGATTTGTTACATAGCTGGAAATTCAGTAAAGACATAAAAACCTTGCTGCAAGAAATGGCGGTAGTCGGCGAACTTTCGCGGGCAACAGTGCACTGTTACCCTCTGACGTCAAAGATTTTTGCAATGTTGCCTGCTCAGAGATTTTGTTAGAGAGTTAGATGTCATGTGACCTCAAAGTAACCAATGAGAGCACGTGCTGTTGGGAATAAATTTCCAACCATATTACAATAAATTGTCTTTATTTTTACTTGGCACTTTGTGTACGAAAAGCTTTGCTATTTGAATGCATCATCCTTCAGGCAACATTCGCTCTCACTAAGCGATGGATAATATTTTGCCAGGTTTGTAACTGGATCGCATGACAGTTTGATCGATCAAGTTCATATTTGATTCCACAGTAAACAAAGGCGATTTATCCCACAGCTTGCTAGTGGAAGAAAAAGGGAACATCCTTTATACTCTCTACACAGTTACTGTTTAATGCCGGAAATCAGTAGAGGATGGCAGACATTTTTTGGCCAAGAACTGACCTGGTAACAAGACTTCTCCTAGCCTGCGTAGCAAGCGTGAGTAAAAGAGCGGGAAGGGGGTGGGGAAGAAAGGAAGAAAACTTCCTCCCTTCCCCTCCCCTTCCCCCATCTTTCATTTTTTTGGTCTCGTTCCATTTTTCGCGCGGCCAAAAGCGAAAATCCCATTCCTCGGTCTTTCTTTACTCCGAAACCAAACGGAAACGCTTGCTACGCGGGCTAGATTTCTCCCATACCCAAATCCTGCCTATACCCCTGAGAAATCATGCCACAGAAAGTTGTTCATCGGGGATGAAAAACTCGTCACGTCTATCCTGTAGGTAAGCCCTACACGGCCGTCAACACCTCAATTTTTTGAATTTTTTTTAGATCTCTGATGAGGACTTCCGTATTCTGCTCAAATATCTGGAAGGCTTAAAGGGAACAGCCAAAGACAAGACAATTGAGATGGCGGAGCAGAGAATCGACTGTGGTACAGGTAAAGACATGTATTCTTTCTTTCTAATAAAACTCGAGGTACACTTTGAACCTTAAATTTCATGCAAACTGATTGTTTGATGAACTAATATTTTTTTATTAATGCTTTTGCGTCATTTGTGACTGGCTAACTAATTTCACGCCACTTTTCAAACCAATAACAATTAAAACAAAAGCCATCTGTGACGCTTTTGCACGCGATTTCCCGCGTTTGAGACCGCCACCATCTTGCTGGGTTTTGATTGGTTTGTTGGGTTGGCCGCATATATTTCGTTTGTTACTTGGGGACAGCAGTACACGAAATGAAGTGAATAAGTGATAACACTACATTGATAACGAAGAGTAAACTTGTACCACAAACACAAATTCCTCTTGATACTACTTGAAAACTCCACTTCTGATGTTCAAGGTCATGTTTGGATTGATGTTTGAATAACGAAATAACCGTCCTGGTTCAAGTAATTACCCCCGCCCTTCGAATTAGAGCCCCCCTCTCGTCGAAGAATTTAAGTTTTCTAAAGCTCCCCGGACACTAATGTACAGAACTTCGGTTTTAGTTTTTATGTCAGGAAATTTATCGAATTTAAAACAGTGGAAACTGCCATCAAATTGAGAGAAGCCTAAAAATAACCATCAAAACATTAAAAGGAGATATAAACAACACAGCAAATACAAAAAATGAAAGGGTCAAATGGAAAAACTTAAAGAAGATTAAAACGGATCGCAGTTGTGGTTTTGGGAAACTTGTTCAGGGCCTAACAGTTTTGTAAAGTTCGTTTATTATTGGTAACGTTTGATATAATGCTTGGGAGACATAACTGTTTGACAAGTTTGAAGCTGTAGTGATTTTGTAATTTACAGCAGTTTCCTCTCCCGGCAGCGTTAAGTTCCCTAGTAAATGAAGACACGTCATTTGCAATATATTAGAGACCTTAAGATACACCGTTTTCGTGTACGGTTACGGGTAAATTAGCCGTTCACGTAGCCGTAAGCACTGGTAAATTGCCTCTCACCCCGCGGGAGAAACGGGTAGGCTACCGGGTAGAATGGTTAAGCCATTATCACATCTGGTAAATAATGGTTGCCTTTTATAAAACGACGAGACAAACGTGTTCGTTTAGCCGTACCTGTAGGCTGAAACAGTTTATCTTAAGGTCACTATTAACACAATCAACTTTAAAGACAGCCGAGACGCAGCTCCTTTAAAGCATTCAGTAAGTAATCTTGTCTGATATGTACGCTGCTCACTTTGTCGCTATTTTGTGAACAGGCGAGCAAGATGCTGTGGTGGAATCACGAGTGCGACATGTTCTTCAGCTGTTAACGGAGTAAAATTAATTTAGCTGTTCAAGATCTCCGCTGCCAGATAGAAAGAACCATTGCCCCCTGCCTTGATACGAGCTGACGACGACCGTGAGCTGACAACCTCGTTCCCAGGATCCTCTCCTACTCGTCCCTTAGAGCGAGAGAGCTCGGGGGGCTAAGGAGAGCATCCTAGAAACGAAATTGCAGGAGCTGAAAGTAGAATAGACAACCTTCTGCCAAATCATCCTCTCACCTTCCCTCACAATGCCCTCATTCCTCCCCACAATATCCATTCACCTACTGAGACATAAGAAGACTGACCAAGACTTCGTTCAAAGGAGCTTCTCCTCGTAATTTCCGAGCGGCAAAGGAAATAGTCGGCTGGACTGATTGAGCAACGCTTTTATGCTTTAACGCTTTAATTGATTGGTTAAATATAACTAGACTTTTACAATAGTACCAGACAATAGTACCCTTCACATGGCCGCGAAGGCATGGGCTCCTTCTCCAAACTACGTAAAATTGAAACGACGACCTTACCAGGCAACAGACACAGATGACAGACATGATAGCAACTAAGTTATCAGCTGATTTACGCTTTGTTGCGTATGCATTACTTATTCATTGAACAAAGAATATTCTTCTTCTCGGTAGGACATGTCTACTCCGCTTTAGACTGCGTCTGGTGATACTTTTGTAATTTCCAACCTCACTTATGAAGTATTCTTCGTTCTAAGCATGAAAAATGTTGAAGTTTTCTGACTCAGTTTTCGACATTAGCGTAATATAAATCATCTGTTCATCACTAAGATATCTTTCATTTTTGTTAAAAACATGTAGTAAAACAATAACAATAAAAGGGGGTGGTAGGCCTACTCGACTTTTACCTCATGCCAAAATGCTGCTCGTTCCAATAAAGTTTTTTCCTCTGCTGGGTAGATTATGCTCTGGAAGGTTCTACATTTTCACTGAGCAAATGTGATTTTTAGCCGCATGTTTCACGGCTGAGAGGTCATGGCACACATATCGATTTACTGGGCCGGCAGGATTTGTCCTCTGATGCAAGCGCATTTTCTTTGTCCTTGTCAAGTCTTGATCAGCCATCGTTGTGTTTTTGGAAATTCGAGGGTCTATTTATTTATTTTTGAGCGACGGTAGAAAGATGACTCCGTCCCCAGAAACGGTGAGTGATCTATGATCCGACGTATGCAGGCTTAGCCAACTGGTAATTACATAGTTGGATGCTTAAGGCTATTTTAGCGTCCAAAACCGAAATTTCGTTTTCGTCAAAGAAAATTCCATCAAAAAATAGGCAAAGAGGAAATTTTGCCTGATCCAGACGGTCTCCGCACGTTGCTCAAACGTCCTTTTCGGTGGACCAAATTCTCCAAACGGAGGTAAAGATGGGGGACGGGAAAGCGAAACATTTGACAACAAATTAAAATTCCAATTAAGTCTTGAATTTAAATAATACAACTAATTATTTTAAACGAAACATTTTTCGAAGTTCCGCCTGACTTGTAGCTCAACCAAGAAACAAGAATGTTTCATGTTACATGAGTTTGTGTGGACAAGACGGTTTTGTGCTGTGCTGGCCATAATGTCGATAAAAACAGCTAACTGTATCGCAAAACTGAGTGAAGGAGACAGAAAGGTGAGAATGGTGATGAGGAGTTTAATTCTCGTTTAGTAGCCTTGCCTTGTGCTCGCCTTATGGTTTTAAGTTTGCTAATTTCTAGCTTCTTGCTCTAAGGAGAAAAACTATACACATACTCTTCACTGAATCAGTTGCACAGAAATATTGCCCCTGAAAGCCATATGTTGTGAATTTGGAACTTACACCATCAACAAAGCTCGTGCGGGTAGAGGAAGTAAAAATCCATCGGTTGAGAGCGGATTCATTCTGTCGATAAATTTGTTAAAATTAAAGTCAGTGACTGTACTTAAGTGATCAAAAAAGTGCGACCCTTCTAATACTTCATCGTTTCCGCTTAAAGAGACTTGCTCGAGGATGATCTTATTTTAAAATGATTATAATTGAAATAGTGGTATGATTGTTAGATTTTGTGATCATAGCCGTGGTTGATTCGGCCATGCTTGAGAAGGGCGACAAGCTGCTTACAAACAGACCTAATCCACGAGAATTGCCAGAAATTGCGTCACTCATACCTAAGTTATTGGCACCTCACATGTTGGAGAGAAACGCTTGCAAACATCTTCCTTTAAACACGTTTTTAAACTAAATAGCCGATTAAAAGAATAGACAGATCGATTTTACATGGCTCTTAGCCAAGTGGAACGTGATTAAAATTGTAAGTTTCAAAGGCTTTTTAAAATAACTTTAGCAGGTTCTCATTTTGCCCTCTTGTTTTGGCAGCATAACAGTTTGTGTCATACAGGACGGATCCGAGTAAACTTGTAAATAGGCAACCGGGAAGCCTAGCTACAGGGGCATCCAACGACTCTTTTCTGTAACATATCTGTTCGGAGAAGGAAAAGTAAACAAGATCCGAATTTTCTCTAGCTTGAGTGAAGGCTAAAAAATTCTAGATACGGACCTTTCCATTCGTGTATAATTTCCGAAGCTTATCTATTGAATTCCGTACGATTTTCTTAAGTTAATTTTTCGCATTTCACTTCCCAGGTTAAGCTCTTTTTTAGAAAAAGGAAATCCTAAAATTTTCGGATTCGAAAATGTGATGGGAAAGGAATACTGAAAAATGCTCACTTTTGAAAACGTTCAATAGCATATAAAACGTTCGGGAAAATAACACGGAAGCCCTTGTAATTTCGAGAAGACGCAAGTTGCCCTGACCGAACAGATATAAATTTATAGCGCCGCTAGAGATCCAAGAGTACTCTGGATAGCCTAAGGGCCTGTTTACTTGGAGGTGGAAGACCCCATGTCCTGTAGATAGGTGAGGTAACATGTGGCGGGTCACCCCACCTATCATGTATAACGTGATCAAATTAAAATGAGAGATTGTATCCCCCACCTCCATGTAAACAGGTCCTAAAAAGCATTTTCAATGCCGTCCGGTTAGCTCAGTTGCAAGAGCGCCGGTCTGTTGACCGGGAGGTCGTGAGTTCAAACCCCGGCCAGACCATCAACCAAGGTCTGTGAAAAACTGGTGAGATCATGCTAGCTGTGAAACTCCTTTCTTAGTTCAGAGGCGGTGACCTTGTCGCCTTCATCCCTGTACTTCAGTTGGAAGGAGACGTAAAAGAACCCGTGACATTGTTCGACAAGAGTAGGGGACGTAGGGGACGTAGGCTCCGATGTCATGGTCGGCGTCATGTCATGGTCGATGTCAGGGTGGGCGTGGTGGGTGTGATCAAAACATGGACTGAAGTGGCTGCAAGAGTGCGCCTTTACATGCTGACGTCCGATCTCACCTCTCTGGTTCCTCCGCAATTCAGCCATTGGCTGCAAGTGAGGAAAGTTGGCACCGCATATTTTTTTTTTAGGAAGAACCGTCGATGGGTGCCTCTGTAGCTAGCACTCCCTTTGCTTTTACGAGAACGCACGTGGAACTGGAATATATGTGACAATCCGAAGTATCTCGATCCTTATCAGTCCTTATGGCACAGTCTCGTCCCCAGGTCTTCTCGTTTTCCAATATGGCGGTGGCATATTGGAAAACCAGAAGACCCTGCGGAGGAGGTTGCTTCTTGCATTAAGTGAGTCAAAAGATATGTCACGTGACCATTTTTTTTAAAACCCTTGCAGACTAACCTGACCTTATGAAAACATTCGAAAACGCTTTTTTCAAAGATTCACGGTAAATGACATCAAATATTTACAACCGTAAACGCTTTCAGCAAACGACTATGTGGAAAAACGTCACGTCAAAGGCCAACTGTAGTATCCCGGGAGGGGGGGAAGTACTCCCTTATATAAGCCATACAGGTATGTGCCGCCCCATCGGGTAGGGTTTTTGGGCAGTTTTGGTCTGAAAACGGGTATACACTGCCCATTTTGGTCTGGAATCGGGTATGGTTTTCGAGGGAACTACGAGAGTGTATGAACGTGTTTACCGTTTCAATTCCAAATGAGTAAGAAAGAAGGAGAAATATGCGAATTCGAAACGGATTTGAAGAATTTTTTTGTTTGCACTCTAACCTAAGTAATGATAACATACTTTCTGCCTAAAGGCCAGGTCTGAAAACGGGTATGGATTTTAGAGGTCTGGTCTGAAAACAGGTGTGGATATTACATTTTTTGATCTGAAATCGGGTCCGGATTTGAAGAACCGGGCGGCACACCCCCACCAAGAATTCCAAGGAGTACCCTCCCACGGGTGTAGTAGTCTCTATTTTTCAAAACTAAAGCAACTGTAGAATTCGAGTTCATCTTTCAATACAAGCAAAAGTAGCGATAGAAAAGGGTGCTAAATACTCAAGTAACAAGGGTTGTTGTTGTCGTTTTTTCTCGAAAGTACGGTAGCCCTGAGGCCCTTGTTATCCTTCACCAGGAGCCGATTATTGCCGTCACTGAGTTAACTGTCTGCAATGCCGCGAAAAAACCGTTTCTTTATATTCTTATTGTCTTAACTGGCATTTTTTATTTTATTTCTGAGGATGATCCCGTCTTGGAAAGAGTTTAAAATCTCTCCAACGTTTTGGGGATTCAAGGTGGCAATTACGCGAGCAGAATCATTCTGGAACAAGAAAAAAAAAAAGCCTGTAGGCCTGTACGAACTACAATATCATACTCAGAGTACCAGATCATTTTAGTTCACGATCATAATTAATTTCCTTACTTGTGTGCAACAGATAGGCTTATCATTTCTCTGGTTGTATACCTTTATTAAAAAAAAAAATTCACAACGATAACAATTTTACGGTTTAACATCCGGTCGCGTTCGAAACCGGGGATTTCTCTAATTTTTTCGTTGAAACATGATGCACTTAGCGGCGGCGGATCGATTTAATGTTCTTCATTAAAACAGTTGACAGGAAAAGATAAAGACATGACTTATTTCTGTAGATCTGTGTAAATTGACGTAATATAACAACGCAAATAGGTACTAATAATATTGCCAGAAATTAAATTTAAAGGACTGCAAAAATGCGGGGGCGACAACCTCTATAAAACATGTCAGCTATTAAGCGGGTCTTATTTCTGTTATTTCTTTTATTCTCTCATAAAAAGAACCAATCCTCTGAGATTATTTGCTTATTTTGTTTCTTTTTAGTCTTCGAACAATGTTTTCTCTTTTACATTGGCGTAAAACGAGGAAAATCTTGGTGCAATAATTTTTGTCAGCTTCAAAATTTCTTGCAGTTTCTCTGAATAATTTGACTGGAAGTACCCACGCATTTATTTTTCGACGTCATATTGACGTCATTGCGCAGCAGTTATTGGATAAGTCAGTGTGACGTCACGCCAGTTCTTCTCCGAACGGCATTAGCAGCAAAAATGGCGTCGAAAAAGGAGGATGGAGATGCAGCAGCGCTGAGACAGTGTGAAGTCTACGTCGAAAAACATAATATTCAAGCTATTCTCAAAGACTGTATCGTGCAGCTGTGTATTAAGAAACCGGATAACCCTCATAGGTTTTTTCGAGAATATTTCGAAAAGCTAGAAAAGGTGTGTTTTGTTTTGAGCTCCGTCCATAATCGAAGCTTTGTTCCACCGACATTTTCTTACTGGTATTTCTCCATGATATTTGCCTTAGAAGCCCTGTAGACAAATAAACAGCAGGCCAAGAACCTTATGTATTTTATTTCCGTTAGGAACATGAGGCAGAGCCGCAAGACTATAGCGAACCTGAACAAAACCATGAAATCGAAGATCATCTCGGGCCTGTTGGCGGCTTTCCTAAAATGAAGCGTCGCGGTGCTGTGAGCGCTGGGCCAATTTCTGAAGATGAAGCAACGTCGTACGTGAAAAAGGTAATTTAGACGAAGATTTTTTATAACATCATTGAAAAAACTGAGCATTATTATTTTCAAAAAAACAAAACTGATGATAGTTGACTTGAATGTAGGTTGTTCCGAAAGACTACAAAACCATGGCTGCCCTTTCGAAGGCGATTGCGAAGAACATTCTATTTTCTCACCTGGACCAAGAAGAAAGGAGGTCAGTGCGATGAAAATATCACAGCTTTTGAAGCTACCTCTCCTTAAGAAAAATGGCTGATTGTAGTTCGAATTTTAACGAACGATGTTTTTCTATTCGACAGCGATATCTTCGACGCCATGTTCTTGGTGAAACACAGTGCTGGGGAAACTGTAATCCATCAAGGTTAGAATACAAACTCGTTGATATTTTTTAAGATATTTCTGTGTTGACTTGACATTTACGTCTTATCTATCACAAAATGTTCCTTCTCAGAGGATTGTACAGGCCAACAGTCTTGTTCTGTATCGATTTTCTTTTTTGTACAGTACGCTGTTATCTACATTTTTTAGCTTTAATGTTCTGTATGCAGTAGAGCGTGTTGCACTGGAGCTCGACGTTTCATTATCTCAACCAAATTTTCTGTTTTTTGCTGTTTTAGGCGACGAAGGAGACAACTTCTACATCATTGACAGTGGCGAAGTTGATGTAAGCATAAATATTTCTCTCGTCTGTTTACATATCTTCAGGTAGCTGTAAACAGTTGATGGACCGGTATTACCTCGCACAAGACATTCCTTTTTTTTTCACCTTAGCCTTTCAAGAATCCAAAGTTCTATTCAAATTTGTGTGGAGAACCAAAAATTGGATAAAAATTGCCGAGACGTTGAATTTTTGCTGACAATTATTGCTATAATATCAAAATATTTCGTGTTACAGTTTTCCAGCTCCTGTGACAAGAGTAAGCATTGTTTCTTGTCTTTTCTTTTCCTGGTATTTTTTATCATATAGGCTCATACTGGTGAGAGGGATGATATCTCATGTTGGTTTATACAGTAAAATATGTACAAAACAATGCTTTTTTAGCACAGAAACCATCTTTAGTTGTTGGATTTGTTTTGACCGAGATATTCCAACTCCATGTGATGCCCCTCCATATTTGAAATCAGGAGCTCCTAAACAGTCATTTCCTTTTCTATCCCCTTCCACTTCTCAGGTTTAAAGGGACAGGTTCATGGTTCAGCGCATGCTTATTGATTGAGTCACCTTTCCAATTTATTATTAATTCTATTGGTTAATAATGCCACTTACAAGTATCTCAGTGATCTCAGAGTGTATTTGAAAGTCGAAGTGTATTTCAGAAACACCTGAAGTAGGATGGAGGAGTACTAAAGTTACCAACATTGAATTTATTGTTGACCCTAGGGTTTTATTCCATAGTTGATTAATTACAGTTATTTGCAAATATTTAAGTTGATCAAGTGCAAGTGACTGCCAGGGGATTGTGCAGATTGGTTCTTTGACAACATTATGGCATGATCTTATTGATTGCATAGATGATTACAGCATGCCCCGGCAGAAAAAGAGCATTTTGATTAATGAGCATGCGCTGAACCGTGAACCTGTCCCTTTAAACTTACAGTACAACCCGAGAATAATCAAGTACTTTTTTCCTTGACATCGAAATTTACAGAAAAGCATGGTTTTACAATTTTCCAATTCTGTGATGTGATATGTGATGAATACAAAGGAAAATTAATGTTCTTCATCCTACTTGACTAAAATACTACCTTACGAGCAGAGGCTACATTTTCGCTCTGAGTTGGCATGCGAAAAGTAGCCTCTGTTGACAACCGTTCAATTTTCTATCTTGCATGCGTGAAATTTGTCACATGATTCACAAGCAAAATTAATGGTTGGGTCTGTTGTCAAATGGTGCGGTCTTCGCGGGAATAAAAAAATTGCGACAACTCTGATCTGCTATGCAAGACTTAAGCTAGACTCGCACAATGCTCTAAACTGGTCAAGAACAGGAAAAAACCTTTTTTTAAAAATTAATTTGTCCTGATTTCTGGACAGATTTGCATGGTTGTCAGTGGAGGCTACTTTTCACACGACAGCTCACAAAGTGAAAATGTAGCCTCTGCTTGCAGGGTACTAAACTACCAGCTAGCTTAATGACTGTCTCCATGTCAGGGCAATATTTTTAATTGAAGGGAGGATAGTAAAGTCTCGTTAATGCGTCATCCAAAAAGGCTTTGAGAATTTTTTGGTACTAATGTTACAGTCCCATCAATGGGCTTTGAAAATGACCAATGTTTCTAAGGTCCGGCTGAAAGAGTGTAATCGCCAATGGCAACAAGTTGTATAAACAGGGTGGATGCAAGGTGTACTTTTAGTGTTTCTCTATACTGTGCAGGTGGCCTATGGAAAGTTTATTTTAGGCAACTTCAGGAGTGGCTATTTATTTTGTATTTGGAAGGGGGATACATTAGCAAGGATATGAGATTTCTACTGTGTACTACAACCCCCAGCTTGTACCAATGTGCTGTCATGAATTCACAGTATAACAACCTTGGGATGTGCACGTAGCTATTTGCAAACATTGTTCCAGTGAGATGTAAGATAAAGTGGGCCCAAGCATGAACATGATTTCACCATCAAGGTGGAAAAATGAGCAAAATGTGGGATATAAAATTCTTCTATTCCTTGTGTTACAACTTCCATGTCGCATTTTTCCTGCAAGAGTGCAATCAAGAATCTGTTAAAATAGTATGTTTTTTGCTAGGTGTTTGTTAGTGACGAGTATGTCTCTACCATTGGGGAAGGAGGGAGCTTTGGTGAGCTGGCTCTGATATATGGCACTCCCAGAGCAGCAACTATCAAGGTGTGATACCTAACTTACTTATGATACAGTACTGGATTCCTAAGATCTAAGTTTTGAGAGTGAAGGGGTGTGTCAGGCAAGGCTTCAAGTGACTCCTGATCTATCATCAAATTCTCTGTTTGATGAAGTTAGATTGAGAGGTCATGACATCATTAGTGGAAGTCACATAGGGGAATTTTTTATTTCTTTTGCAAGTGCATTAAGGTCTTAAAATAGAAAGAAGTCGTTACATCATGTTGCCTTGGGAGCAAAATTTTTCAGTAACAACAAATCAAAACATCACTTAAAAAGTGAAATTTTCTGGGTTGAATCCAAAAGGACCATATCTAAGTGTAGAAAAAGAGAAAGAAAAATTTTGTGTTGTGTGTACCTATTCCATAAAGCGGGTGCGTGGAATTAGGAAGTTTCATGTCACAGACGCGCAACAACAGTTAAGAAATGTACAAAAAAGCAGAATGCACATGCAAAGTTGTTTGCCAATCTAAACCCATTGCTTTTTTGCTGTTTGCCATCGCTGTTGCAAAAACTCCGTGTTGTTCTGATCCAGAAATTCTGCTGCCATGGTAAAGTGAGGTCACACTTCTCCTCTCTACTCCAGTAATTTTTTTTAATTGCATTATTGGCTTGGACAGCCTGTGTTTTTGTGAGTTACATTACCATTAGCCTTGGCATTATTTCACTGTGTTAAAAATCCTGACTTGATGCAGTAATTTGTTTGTGTTTATTGTGTAACATCCATCTCATAAGTTTAAATGCCTTCACCTTTCCTCCATCCAGTCTAAGACTGATGTGAAGCTCTGGGCCATTGATCGAGTAACTTATCGGCGAATATTGATGGGAAGTCAGATTCGAAAGAGAAAGATGTATGAACAGTTCCTAGAAAAAGTCAGCATTCTTGAATCACTTGACAAATGGGAGAGGCTCACTGTGGCTGATGCTTTGGAGGCTGTTACTTACGAGGATAATGAAAACGTTGTGGTCCAAGGAGAACATGGGGATGAGTTCTACATAATTGTTGATGTGAGTTATTTCTTCCATGCTTTGCTTTATAAATATAATTATTTACAATAACTGAGCAATTTTTCACGCATTTATTGGTCAAGAGCTATGGTTAGTAAGGGTACAGACCATTGAAAAAACATATGTCATCTGGCATTGATCGTTTTGAACTGAACATTGATGCTAGGTAACCAGGTCAATTTTTGAGCACGTGCTTGACTCAAGATGGCGGTTTGTTTACAGTCATTTCTCTGCTGTGGTCTTTCCATATCCCTTGTTTCAGACAATAATAATAATAATAATAATATGTTTAAACTGGATGACCATTGCAGTTATAAAAACTGCTATCAATATGGGTCCTGTATAAAAATAAATAGATAACCTTTTTCGCTGTTGTTCACATAGGTGAATGGCGGTAATCAGCATCTTTGGAATAGTTAAGGTGCCCATTGCCAAAAATCAGCAGCTGTGCTTTATAGGCGGGTATTTGGCTGTTAACTTAGAAAAATCGCGTTGAATAGTTTGGGGTGTGTCTTATAATGAGTACACCTTTGTGTACAGGGAAAGCAATAAGGTCGGGGTATTCTCACAGAAGCCAATTCGGAATCCTGTCAGGGCCACACAACTTAGAAGGATTGCGTTATGATATCAACAATTTCCAATGGTCTGTACTCTTATCAACCAAGCAAGTGATGTTAAGATGTTCCCCTGTTAAAATGTTTAAAACTTTGCGATGTAAACAGTCACCTGTGATTCATGGTTCACTTGACTGTTGAACATGTTGATTGTTGTTTATTTGTTTCCTTTCTAACAAGTTAAGATTTTTATGATTAACAAACTTGTTTTGTTATTTTTTCATTAACACTATAGGGAGTAGCTGTCGTTTTGCAGCGTAGATCACCAAATGAAGATTACATCGAAGTCAGCCGCCTAGGTCAATCAGACTACTTTGGTAAGTGGAATATTCTAAACTATGGAGGTGCCCTCTTGCAGGATCGAGATGGGTATCTTCTTTCCATTTTCCTGATACATAAAGCAGCTTCATGGCTCTACCCTCTTTTAAGGCACCTGCCCCAACCTGATTTATTGTTGATGAGTTTAACTCGACCTTATCCAATTCCCTGCTTCAGAAACTGGAGGGAGATTGCGTACAAGATTTAGTGCAGTGATTTCTCGTATTATTTGGGTGGGCAAGCATTTGTTATGATTGGTTTGTTAGCCAATCAAAACTGATGCTTGTCCACCTTAATGATCCCAGACGTTTTTGTACTGAAAGCTTGTTTCTGGAGTGGGAAATACTGTTTTTGCCAGTGAAACAAGAACATAAAACGAGTTGTACATTTTGAGTCTTACATTGTGCTTTAAAGAAGTGTTCTTCAACTTAAAAGGGTTTGTATGTGATGTGACTTGAATACAATATCTGTTCTTGTAGGTGAAATAGCTCTGGTGCTTAATCGACCTCGTGCTGCAACAGTGCGAGCAAAGGGAACCCTCAAGTGTGTCAAACTGGACAGGCAGCGGTTTGAACGAGTGTTGGGTCCATGTATTGACATCCTCAAGAGAAATATTCAACAATACAACAGCTTTGTCTCTTTAGTTGTGTAAAAACGTTAGCATATCAAGTAAAGAAATGTGTGAAAAAGAGATGCATTGCATCAAACAGATATACAGTACTTAAGATACCTTGTAGATCATCTCAATGCTTTGACAGTTGGGTCAGGGTCATATAAATATGTTTTTTAAGTTATTAAAGTTTGATTTGATTCACGTCTGTCAAAAAAATGGTTTCCCCATTGTTCAGCATTGGTTTTCTCTTTTTTGTTCTTGTTGTTGCTAAAAAGGAAACTTAATTTTTTGGATAATAGCTCAAGCTCTACTATGTGATGAAAGCCATGCAATGTCTGCTTCATTTACTGTTGTATTTAAACTTTTGTTTCTTTGGTTTTTTAAACCCTTATGTAAACTGGGGCATGTAATTACTTGTAAAAATATTTTACATGACAGTTACAAAAATGTGCAAAAGTTAATGTACTTGGACTTGTTTGCAATAGATTAATTATGAACACAAAGTGATTATATCGGCAGAAGGATAGACAAGAAAGCGTTGATTTCCTTATCGAGTTTTAACATTTTGTTAGTGAAAAAGACCAATAAGACGAACTTGTGATCAAAGTCTACTATCACTGCAGTGTGCATTAGAGTTCTTCAGTGTATTATTAATAGGCTTTACTTGTAGCTTACAGTGTTTAAGTTGTTTCTGAATATTATTTATTAAAGTTTTATCGTGGTTTGTTCAAATATGGTAAACATGTGCTATGTAACTTAGTAATTAAAAATAAAAATGTCTATATCAAAACATGATTGAATTTGGTGTTGATAACTTTACCAAAAAAACCTTATATTATTGGCATGAATGTCATTAATCCTATACTGACAGTTCTCCATACTTTTCAAATAGTTATGGGGCTTGCAAAGGGGGATTTGTTTAAAAAGTATGAGGCCTTGTACACAAGTATCCAACTATTTTTGAAAACAGCACCACTCATATTCTTTCAAATCAGGTAAAGCATCCATAAATTACAGCCTTCATGGTTAACTCCATTGCCACTGCTTTTAGGTTGTTGTAGCAGTGTTGCTAACGTTGGATTGTTTCTTCCTTTTTTGCTGCCTGTGTTGGTTGGTAGCGAGGCATTCAATCTTGGCATTTTCGTAGCAAGTGGAACTTCTCCTAAGCTTTATCAATTAGCCGCGGCTTCCGTTTCAGACACTTGACATCTTTCTGCTTCTTTCAGCTCAAGATAACTCTGTATTAAGCTTCTTTGATAGCCCTGTAGAGGTTTTTATCATTACCTCTGCTGCGCTTATGACAACTCTATCGCGCTCTATCTGTCAACCACAGACCCACACAGTCAACTGAAAATCCACTCTGCACCACCAAAAGTTAAGAGGAACACTGGGCACAAATTTGAAGAGCAGTTTTTTTGCATTTTGAAGCGTGGCAAACAAAACTTTTGTGACAAAGTTTCCTGAATTGTGAATTTTTAACTACCAATCAGACATTTATTTAAATTTTTAAATATTTCTTGAATTTTCCATGGAAAATGGTTTAACTATAGGAAAATATAGGAATCTGCCCAATTTATAGGACTTTACAGGAGAGGTCTTTAGGAAAAGGATTTTATAGGAATTATATAGGACTTGCTTGACACCCTGCTATAGGATACAGAACCAACTTTGTGTCTTGAACAAGTTGTGCCAAAACACAGTTTATTTGAAGCAACCTCAATTCCATGCAATGCTTTTCATCATAATCATCATAGGATCTTTGTACCCCTGTGGGAATTTTCCTTTGCCCATGGTCTCTTTATCCAAAAAAACAGGAGAAACCTCAACCCACTACTCCAGCCCTAACTCCCTTTAGTTCCTTCTCTACCAATCATCACCATGCATGTCTCTTTCCCTTGCCTTCTGGTTACCATGTAGAGATGATGGGTGGAATAGCTTATAGTAAAAAGAGTGGTATTCATTCACAGGGTTCCAATTTTAAAGTAGACAGCTAGGACGTAATGTAGGTGACTTGGTAATTGAGTGAGGTAGGCAATTAGGCTTTCACTTCCACACCTCAACCCTTTTTCCTTCAAAAGCAGATGGTTTAAACCGGGGTAATGTAGGAGCTGCTCACAAGGTGTTTCCTCGTTGATCGCAGAAAACAATATCATTGTTTATCATTATTTCCCATCGTTTCATGGTCAGGGTATTGAACCAATTGGCTTTTACGGTTGGGAGAGCTGCTACATGACTGGGTTTAAACCAGCCAGTTGCTGGCACTTATGAGAAGCCTGCATTTAATTGTGACTAAATAATTCATTATTAGGATTGAATTAAAATAACTTGGTTAGGAATAACAAGAAATATAAGAAGTATCTACTCTAGGAAGACAGCCTAGAATCAAACACGCAAACATAATTCCTATGATGATGTTAACTATATGATAAAGAAGACGCGAGGGTCGCCTTCTATGTTTGCCGTGTCCAGTCTTTTTAAAATGTTCTACTACTCCATCCAGAGAATACTTCTTTGGACTATAACCAAGGTGGCTCCGTGCTTTTTTCATGCTAAAGTAATGTGTTACAGCAGTCTTGTAAACCTGTACGGAGAAAATAGAAAACAGCTTGTCAAACCAAACACTGAAAGTTCACTCATTCAAGAAATTGTTTTTTCTTTGGAATGTTGATGGAGCCATCTGTGTAAAAAAGTGTATTGCTCTAAACTAAATAAATGGCTTAGTTAACCAAAGAGTTATTAAATTCAGTTACCTCTGTTCTGGTAAGCAGGGGTTGAAAGTTATAGATGTATTTTCCAACAACTGAGTGCACTATTTCTGTTATAAATGCTGCAATAAAAAAAATCATAATGATTAAATCACTTGACATAAACATGTGAATGAAGTGAAAAACATTACCAAACAAAATCAGTTCTGAGATGCTGGTGTTTGAAATGCTGTGTTGAAAATATATATTAAGTTGTTAAAATGAACACACAATAAAAAATATAGTTTCAACTATATCCCTGGAGTGATCAATGCATAAAATAAATTATGCAGAGCAAAATTCAAAAGCAATTAAAGAATAAAAGTTGTAACTCGTAGTTTCCCACACTAACAAAGCAATCATCACAGTAAAAGTTTTCAGTTTAAAGTTAGAAATTTAAAATTCATGGGCGGTGGGAGCCGCACGTTCTGTGATTAGTCGTCACAAAGAACTTGTTTTCATAACAACACCGGGTTACCAGCTCAGATCTTTTGTTGAGAAGCGAAACAATGTAGGCAGCCAAGAAACAGAGTTTCTCATGAAAGCCCATCATGTTTACTTTAGGGTTAAATTTTGTCTTAATGAAACTGCATGGGTTACAATATCAGAGACCTTCATACTCACCAAAGATATAAATCAAGGTTATTGGTAATTTTAATCTTGGAAAGCTATACCCAAGGCCTTCAACCTGTCAACAACAACAACAACAGTTTATTAAGGTATTTCCATTTACATACATGGCAATACCTATTCTCTTAAAAAAGTAAATAATAATTATAATTAATTGGTTTAGTCACCTTTGAAATTACATGATTGTGTGTACAATTCATAATATCAAAAATAAAAGCAGCAACTGATTTACAAATAAATGGATCAATATTGCTGAAAAGGAACAAAATTTTTGATTTCACATCTAAATCATTAAAAAAGTTATATTTGGTAATGATTTCATCAAAAAATTTGTTGCGAAGTGTATCATATAGAGTGCAAGAAAACAACGTGACGTTCATTTTCAACTTCAGTGGCCTGACATAAGGAACAGAGTCTTAAATCAAAGTTTTTATTCATAAGAAGATTGACTGCTTACTCCATGAACTCCATGAGACAAGCAAACTCCATGAGTTTGCTTCCTGTTCTGGCCCTGGTTGTTGTTACATAAATCTTAACTTTGGACCTAAACTGTCCCTTACTAAAGGTCTGAAGAACTCAAAGTTGTTCACAGGTGAATCATCAGATACAAAGTATGCTTCCCCTGCCTGGAAAAAAAGATGCAGAGAAGAAGTGAGGCTGGCGGTGACCTTGTTTTGTTGAAAACCCTCCTGCTTTTCATTATGCAAATCGTAGTATTCTCATGCTAACAAGCCCTTGAAAATGATCATTTACATATGAAAAACAAGAACAAAACAAGGTCACCGCCAGCCTCGCTTCTATTCAAAGGCCAGGGCACTGAGCACACAACTGTAAAATGGCCTATTCATACAAATCAAAAGACACCATAAGCTGTCAAAATAGGCAGTTTGATAAGGGTTCTAGCATAACACTGCGTTACATGTTGTTGATTGAGGGTGTCATGCTCCATTAACTGCGTTTTACAATAGAGTTGTAAAACTTTCATTATTTTACAAGAAAGGTTTAATACAGTTGAAGCTCTCATAAGCCAGCATCTGGGAAATTCAAAAAAATGGTCATAACTAGAGGTGGTCGCTTATGAGAATGAGATCTCATAAGTGACCAAATTATGGTAAAACAACAGAGGGTGTCCCTTACTAGGGCTTCAGAACTCATTAATAATTCATGAAGAAAAACAAAAGCAATTAATGTTAAATGAATGTCTTTGTATCTGGTATAGACACAGCTAAATTTTACCTCAAATTTTTCTTTGGACCAAAGTAACCCCAAGATCTTTATCAACGAACCGTTAGTGCAGTGTGCGGTTTTATTGAAGTGTCGATTTATATGAATAAGACTCTGAGTGGTGGCTTATGAGAGCTTAAAAAACAAAGGAAAAGTCCAGTTGGGTAATCTCAAAGGTGGTTGTGGTTGCTTATGGGAGCAGTCGCTTGCCAGAGCTTTTCATTTAAAGGGACAGGTTCACCATTCAGCACATGCTCGTTAATCAAAATGCTATTTTTCTGCCGGGGCATGCTGTATCATCTAAGAAAACAATATGATCATGTCATAATGTTGTCAAAGAACCAATCTGCACACTCCCCTGGTAGTCACTTCATCAACTTAGGTGCAAATAACTGTGAATTAATCAACCGTCCATGGACCCTTCGGGACAACAATACATTGAACATTGGTAGTGTTGGCATAATCCACTAATTTTTCTGCGATTTTAGTACTCCTCCATCCCACTTAAGGTTACTCTGAAATACAAGTCTACTCTAAGAATGCTGAGATACATGTGAGTGGGATTATTAACAGATAGAATTAATAATAATAATTGGAAAAAAGCAATTTAATTACTGAGCATGCGCTGAACCGTGAACCTTTACATCCCTTTAAGTTTGAGTCACAATTCAAATGGGGTTTCACAAAGTCACAAAGGTGGTTGTAACTAGAGATGGTCAATAATTACAAGAGTGGTCACAAGGAGAGCTTCAAATGTAATTCTTCTGTAGTCTTTCCAGCTGGAAACTCAACCTTTTACTACAATCAATAGCTTCAAGACCAGTCATGTAATGATTCATCCTCCAATATTATGTGTGGGTGGACGGATGGAAGGAGGGCCGGGTGCAAGAGGAAATTGGGTTGTTTTACTGGTAATCCTGCGGCTGCATAATTTTTCAGAATGTCAGATACTCACAGCAATTGCATTTTTAGATGCATGAAGAGCTTCTCCTGCTAAAACATGAGCTTGAACCAGATTATTGACATGAACAAAGTCAACCACAGAGTCGCCTTGTCCATAAGTGAAGGTAAAAAGTCCTTGTTCGATGTACGACTGAGAAAAAAAAAAACAATATTATGCATTTAAAGACATGATCGTCTGGCAATGGGTGAGCATATTCCTCACTAGGACCGTTGTTTAAGTAGTGACTGACATTTTGAAAACCTGTGGCGCGGGAGTTGACAGGTCGTCAAAACATCAGTCACTGTCAACAATAGTCCTCCTATCCATGCTTCACCTAGTCATGAAATGACTCCAATCCAGGGTTAAAATCTTTCAAAATATTTTGCATATTTGGTTAACAAAAACACTGGGTGAGGTATGTACATCTGTAGAGTAAGAACAGAAACTTGGCTTTTTTAAGTCAAATCTGCACAGATGCAAAATATAATCTTTTGGCTAATTACAGGGAGAGATAATTTTTAAAAAAAATCACTTGCCCTTTCAGCATGCCCTTGCTGGAGTTTTTATAGGGAAACACAGTCATGCAGGCCTACCAAAACCCCATTTTCACTGACATTTACTTTTAAATGTTGCTTGCCCAGGGACTGTAATATTAAACCCACTAGCCTGATGGGTCATTCTGCTAGCCGCTGGCTATCAGACAGCACATTTGTTGCACCCTGTAATAATGAAGGGATTCCTAGAAAATGGGTGCTTGTGACTGTTTACTAGGTTGTTACAAGCACCTTTAATATACTACCTGCTTTAGAACAATTAATATATTTAATAAATTTTGATTTCATCATTAAAAAAGCTTTAAAATATTTCCAGGCCCAGTCAGAACTGTTTTATCACGATAAGTGCCCGGGGGATTCCCACTGTTCTCTGACCTCCAGATAGTGTATCCTGTCACTCAACCTCACTGCCTCTTGGGTAGTTTGTGTATTTATGTGTAGCAAATATTTACGTCATAAAATATTCCTTCCTAATAATTAGCTGCTACAGGGACACTGACAAAGAATAGGGATACAATATGGCACTTGGAACAAAGACACCCACAATAAAGAAACATCAATATTCTTGCCTATACACACACTACACTATATTAGTAAAAGCAGTCATTATTAAAAAAGCCCCCCTAATGTATAATCTTAATATTGTTCAATAACTTAATTACCAGTATCTTACCACAATTCTTGGCAAATGCCGTAATTCACCTTCCCCATAAATACCAGCTGGTCTCAGAGCACATGTCTTTAGACGGTTTCCATCTGTAAAATAACAGAGATTTTAAATAAAGACAACTACTTGTATTTAAACTGGACTAGTCTGTAAGGTGATGTTTATTAAGGCAAATACTTGGGAATCGTGTGTAACTGTGTCACAGGGCTCTCACCAAGATTTCAAGTTGCTGGGTACAGCACTGTACCTGCAATTAGTAGGTGGGTCCAATTTATTGAACAGTTAGTTTCCTATGACAGTAGCAATATTGTAAAATTAAAATGAATATTATTTATCATAAGGGCAATTAACAGCAAAAATATTAAAACTTCAATGCAGAAATGACTTAACTTTGAAGTTAGAAATGAAACTTGAATTTTTTGATAAACAGTTTACATACAGATCACAATCTTTTATTAAGTTCATAGAGGTAAATAGTAAAATATATTAGTAAGCTCATTCAGTAAGTTCATAGATTCAAAATGGCAGGATGGAATTTTTACCTTGTAGTTGTAAGCCATTAGCACTAAGAATAGCCTGCTCTGCTATAGACTTTGTTCGTGAATAATGATCTGGATGCTGATGCAAATAAAATGACAATGAATATAAAATATATACTTAATAAAGAATATGTTGTGGTCCAATTTTGTCCTTAATTTGGTTTCAATTTTATTTTTCTTTGTCTTTAGGTATGATAATGTAAGATATTTATGAGTTTGAAACAAAAGAAAATAAAATTCAAACCAAGGACAAAATTGAACCACAACCAATATATCAATAATATTTCATATATTGTACATGTACAACAGAATGAAGAAGCAAGGGAGGAGGAGCAAGGGATGGTGAAGTGGTGAGAGCCGTCGCCTCCCACCAATATGTGGCCTAGGTTCAAATTCCGGCATCGATGCCATATTTGGGTTGAGTTTGTTGTTGGTTCTCTCCTTTGCTCCAAGAGATTTTTCTCCAGGCACTCCGGTTTTCCCCTCTCCTCAGAAACCAGCATTTCCAAATTCCAATTCGACCAGGATTTAGGTAGACGAAGAACCACTTTGTGGATGTACTACCTCCAAATCATTATTTATTTTATTTTATTCATTTAAGAATTTAAATGCAAAAAAGATCATTGCAGTTTTAAGACAACTTAAAAAACACTTGCCAAGAGAAAGCCTGAAAGCCTGTGTGATATTGTTGAAGCACTCTAACCAATAGGATTTATAGATACTGATTAGATAGTGATATGTTCATTTTGTTTAAATATTTTTTTTCAGATTAGCAAATTCAGAGCTGCAAAATGAGAATTTGCTTTTCAAAATTGTAGTCTGTTCATGGACTGCAAATTGATTAATCACAGGGCAAAAGCAGATTTAGCCACATAATAATAATTACTGTGATCTCTCATGTTAATATACCCCTATTACAAAAATAATTTACATGAACTAACCTTATCTAGTGGTAAATAAGGTAAAGATTCATTCCCATTTCGTATTATCTGTCCACCAAACACCACATTATAAGTACTGGTATAAACCAAGTGTGCCACATTGTATTTGCAACAAGCTACAAACAAACAAGCAGACTTTTAATTAATGTCATCTAGAAGTTACAGTTTTAATGTACCTGCGCAAAAGTAAACACAGATCATTGTTTGCAAGACATATTAATTTCCTGAACACTCTACTGTCTCAAAGAATCAGATGCTTTAAAGTATATGTGTGTTTTCTCCTGGTTTGCCATTTCATTAACACCCATGTCTACAGTGTAAAATCATTTTAGAAATTCCTAATAGTTCAACCCTTCAAAAGTAATAGAGTAGTAGAAATACCGGTCAGCTCTCCACATTTACAAACATATATGTTTAAGGAAGTAAAACATAAGATAGAAGTGAGAGTGGTACTGTAATGGATGGGTGAAGATTGATCAAGTAAGAAAGAGAGGTGTGGATCAGGATGTTGAGAGTTAAAAAGACACAGCTTTTCATTACAAGGCTTCATGGTCACAATTTAAATGAGGTTTCACAGGTCACAATGAGAGCTGGTCATTTGTAAGAGTGTCTGGTCCCAAGAGCTTCAACTGCATTACATTTCAGTTTGCATCTTCAAGTGTTTGTTTTCCTGTGGTAATAACAAGCACAATAATATTATAATTTTGCAAGGAATTATATCTAACCTTCAATGACAAGTTTGGTTCCTAGAATATTCACCATCTCTATCTTCCTTCTGTTTAACTGAAAAAAAAAATGTTACAGTCTAAAAACTGAGGAGAACATTGTTGTTTTGGCCATGTTTCCTGTTTACTGGCATGAAAGAAATGGTAGTTTTAATTTTCATACAAAATAGGTCTGCTGGTAATCAGGCGAGCTCTGATGTCTCGGCCTTTACATATTTTACACTTGATGACTAAGTTTGATTTTATAGCAATACAAAATTTACCCTGTGAGAAAAAGTTTCTCGATCTCTTGCATGGCTTTTAACGTTACCAAAGTCATTCATGTGCCTTATCAGTTCTGTACTTGGCCTGTTTTATACACAGGACGTAAACAAACCAAATACGTGACAGACAAGCCATGTGAACGACTTTGTAAATGCTACAAGTCCTGCAAGCAAGAAACCTCTGCTCCATCTGAGGTATACAAAATTAAGCTTATCTGTTGGAATCAACTGCAGACTGCCTGATCCTTGTTTTCACTTCTAAAAAAGGTTTGAACAATGATCCTCCACCCCTTAAATCACATACCTGTTCTCTGCCAGACATTCCATATGATGCACAATGAAATACTGTATCAAACTGATGGTTACTGAATAATTGTTCCACATCTTCCTTCTGGGTTAAATCTCCCTGAAAACATGCAATCATTTGAGTAAGCTTTGAGCACAAAGACAACATAAATCCCTATAAGATTCAAAAAAGATAATTCTTAAAAAGACTTGGGTCCTTCAGTTCTGTGTGCATAGTAAAAAATTTGACCAAGCACTTACAATGCCCAGATCCAGTCAACGTTATTTAGGGTGTCTAGAAAATGACGACCTAGAAAACGACGACCTACGACCTAGAAAACGACGACCTAGAAAACGACGACCTAGAAAACGACGACCTAGAAAACGACGACCTAGAAAACGACGACCTAGAAAACAACGACCTAGAAAACAACGACCTAGAAAACGACGACCTAGAAAACGACGACCTAGAAAACAACGACCGACAACGACGTAGAAAACAACGACCTAGAAAACGACGACCTAGAAAACGACGACCTAAAAAAAACCACTGGGGGGGGGGGCTTAATATCGATTAATAGAAGTGTGTGAAATGCCCCATCCCTGGACAAAACCAAAATAGCATATTCATAGCAGATCTCAATGTAATCTAATGAAACGTGCCAAACACCCACGCAAATCGCTCATAGCCGCTAGTTACCCGGGGCTGGTTATAAGTAATGCTAAGGTCAATAGGTCTAATATGCACATGCAGCACACTTTTTTGCACGTCGTAGTACGTGCAGACGATTCTATCAGAACCAAAATTTCTTGGATGCATTTTGGGCGCTTTCCATTCACCCAAAACTTAAGAAACTTTGGAAACAGCGGCAATTGGTACAGTGTTTTTCCGAGAAAGTTCCCAGACTTCCGGAAAAGTTTCCGAAATGCGAACCTTTCAACCAGAAATTTTAGACATTCGGGAGCAAATTTGAATGCGAAAAGAAAACTTCCCGATGATAATTTTCGAAAATTTGGGTATATATTGCGAAAATGCTGTTCCTTTCGGTACTGCAAGGAAGTTGCGGAAAATTTAAACCAGACGTTTTGATTGAATGGAATGGCGCCCATGCAAAGGTAACCAAATTTGTTGCCAATTGTGTGTCCTTTACGTACGCGCGCGCGTGAGAGCTCCACTAAAAAAGTTTCTCTAGTCAAATTTTCCTTTAGTATGGTCAATGAAGTCATGATTCAACCTGACTGACTACTGGAAGCAAAAGCTTTGCTTTGACCTATTTATTATCCTGATATCAATTTAAACAAATTTCCATCAAATCTTACTGACCTAAATAATATAGACTGCTTCACTGGTGCGTCGTTTATAGCGGGAAGTTCAAGCCCACATAAATCAAACGGGAAATAAATCAGGCGTACCGTTTATGTGCTCAACACCGTAAACAAACAGTTTATATTTTGAAAAGAAAGAAAGAAGGGCTTCAACATTTTCTCGTACATGAAACGGCAGCATACCGGTAACGAGAATTGTGAAATATTATGTGGGACACAATGAAGGTTGACATGTCATCTGATTTGAACTGTATTTGAACTGTAAAATTTGAATCGTATCATCCTAGGAGTTTCTTTTTCCTCACAGGTCTGATAGCGTGGTATATATGCAGTGAGATCTCCGGCAGAACTTTTGAATTGTTCAGAAATAAATTATTACATCATGAGAAATAGAGACAACGCCGCAGAGCAAAATTAAAAATTTCACTTCGGTTCATTTTTAATTCTTCCATCACTTTCACGTAATGCACACTGCAATGTCCGAGACAAAACAATAGCTCCTGCGACGACACTAGGCACTCTGTAACTGCTGTTTAAAAATGTGAGAGACGGTTTTATAAACCGCGTTATGAAAATAACGCAAGAACAATACTGATGTAGGTATCTCGCGGGGTACATGTAACGAAGGTTTACGTTAATCAATAAGTCAATCGAGCATCTCCGCCTAAACGTGAAAATTTCCCAAATTTGACATTTAGAAATACTTCGTTCCCCAAACCTCTTTTTATTAACACACTCCGGGATCGCTCATGAAACTAACCCGATATACTTTTAATCAGTAAACACCAAGAGAGGTTATCCTCTCTTGGTAAGCACTTTGTTGTCCACCACCCCAGCCAGCTAGAGTTGGAGGGTGTTTCCTTAGGAACTGGTTAGCTCCAATGACCATCAAGCTTTAACAATTTTTCGATCTAAAAGAAATACATTTATAATTCGCAATCAGAACAAACACAAATTGTCTTAATCTCGTAGCTAAATTCAGAAAACTTCAATGTTAATTATAACTTACTTCTGTGGCGGGTCGTTACAACAATCGCACTTTACAGGTTAGCAAATTCTTTTAACAGATTCTTCAGGTAAGCGGATTTATAGACAGACTGTAAATTATTTTCTTTCTCACTTCGATTCTACTGAAAAACTGGTTTGAAACACAATAAGCTAATACAATTCTTGTCATCAAATAAATCTATCCAATAACAAACAGGCAACGCTTGTTTGATAAACGAAACAGAGGGGCGCCCTTGCGTACCTTGCATTTCCATTTCCACCGTTTTATTCCTTGGCTTCATACCCTTAGCCGGTACAAATAATATTTACTATTTTTCTGTAATTTTCCTTCTTCGCCCACCTCTCACCCCTTCATAATTCCCTCCTATCGTCCTCTTATTTCCCGCCTTCTGTACCCCTCTAACCCCTTAATCCTTCGAGCTACCCCTTCCTTGTCGTCGTTTTCTAGGTCATCGTTTTCTAGGTAGTCGTTTTCTAGGTCGTTGTTTTCTAGGTCGTCGTTTTCTAGGTCGTTGTCTAGGTCGTCGCTTTCTAGTTCACCGTTTTCTAGGTCGTCGTTTTCTAGGTCACCGTTTTCTAGGTCGTTGTTTTCTAGTAGGCCGTCGTTTTCTAGACACCCCGTTATTTATGTGTGCATTTCAGATATCAAACAGGCATGTCTATTTTTTTACCAATTATCTGACAGGCTATTTGTTAAAACACACTGAATAGTGAATTTTCCAAGGAAAAATAATAACCACTATAGAGGAGAATTAACATGTGGCGAGGTGAATTGCTTCTTACATGGCATTTTAACAAAGACAACCGCTGCTTTGGCAATGTTATAAAACAATATGGATCTTGCTTTTTGCTGTGCATACATTGAGTACCAAAGCGATTGTAGGAAGTTTGGAAAGCACTCAAGAGGAAACTTCCTGTGTGCTTCACATCTCAATAAAAATCATTGTCAAGGCTGTGCTCTGAAAAAAACTTAAGGGAGCTCAGTGCTCTAAACTGTGAAATCCAGGGTGCCCAGCATATGATTTCTATAAGAAAAAAAAGTACATGTATTCCTTGTCACCCAAGACGGTACACAGGCCACCATACAAAGAACATGGGAAGGACGCCTGATTGCAGGTTAGGGACCTCTAGACACTGCAAGAGCACATTCCTGATTATTCATGTTGCACATTCATGAATTAACTCCGATGGCGCCTTGCCTCACAAGGCTTATAACCTCGTCCACGCAAAGTGCATGTACCACATGTGGTGTTTGCTACCTGCAAAGTCGGCTGGCCCATATATACTTGTATAGATACTGGTCAAATTTGCTTTCAGGTTAAATTTTTTTAACCTGGGTTGATTCTCAATTTCCCTTGTCTCCTAGCCTTAGTTATTCATGTATTAGGGCTAGGAAACAATGGATATTGAGAATCAACCTAGGTTAAATCAAAATTAACCTGAAATCAAATTTGACCTGAAACATGTATTGTGATGGTGTCCACCCTGATGTCATGTAGTGTGTGATGTCATGGAGCATTTTGTGTTTCCAGGCAACACTGAGGAGCATCTAGCTTGCTTTGGCCATATTTCTAACTGTTTGCCATGGGTTTTTTAGCCGCCGTTTTAGGAGTCAGTATGTGCTCTTTGCAATGAGTTTTGAATGCAAAAAGTCTTTTTAAGGGCAAATGGAAGCAATAATATTGTGAATAATAGCCATAAGATATGAGCAAAAATCAAGGTAACAAAACATGCTTTGCTCGCAGGCGAGTTTATATCATATCGACTTAGTTGGCCATCTAATCTTTAAATACGATGAAATGCGTTTATGTTGGGTTTTCATGGTCAAAACAGCAGTCAGATCATTCTTCTGAAAAGTATCTTTGAATTTGTGTTTAACAGGGCTCAATCAACTTTATAAAGGGCACACTGGCAGAAGTTGTAGGGGAAAGGCTTATAATAAAATATTGTTGTTGTCTTCACAGTGTGTTTCACGTGGCATAGTGGAAACAAAACGGCCTTCAGATTCCAGGCAATACCTGTTTTCCTTCTTCTCTTCTTTTCTTTTACTTTCAGTTTTCTTTTAAGCTGTTGCAGTCTTATCTTGTTTCTTTATATAGCTTAAGTTTTTTTAGTTATAAATTTTCTTTCCCATTGCCTTATTTCCAGCGATTCACGTATTTCTAGCAACAGTAAGAATAGCTGAGCCTGATCGGTATGGGAACATGTGGATGTCAAATCAAGTTTTCTGTCAAATTGCGGGTTTTTTAGGTCAAATCCTCGCATATCAAGAATTTTTGCATGGTAATGCTATTAGCTAGCAAGCTCAGCACAGCTACAACAATGACAAAAATGAGAAAATACGCTTTAGCAAAAACTCTGAACATTCATCACACTATTTGGCAGGTTTCTTTACCATCATTGCACGACTAACGTAGACAAACTTGATTGAAATGGCAATGCGATTGTCATTTTAATCTAACGATTGTTCCTCCATCAAGCAATCATTGTGACTTGGATTTTGTAGGAAATACCCATAAGGAAGCTCAAGGTTGGCATATGACAGGGTAGCGGCAAGTGCCTAATCTAGAAAAGGATAACACCCGTGCAGAGTCCCAGGTCCTGGGGGGGCACTCCCTTATATAAGCCATATAGCTATGTGCCGACTCCAAGTGTAGGGTTTTTGGGCCTTTTTGGTCTGAAAACGGGTATAGGCTTTGCTCATTTTGGTCTAGAATCGAGTATTGTTTTCGAGGGAACTACAGGAGCGTATGGACATATTGATCCTTTCAATTTTAAATGACTAAGAAAGAACATAGAAATATGAGAATTCAAAGTGCATTTGAAGAAATTTTTTGTTTGTGCTCTCATCCCATTATAATTCTAAGTAATCGTGACAATATTTCTGGTCTGAAAAAGAGGAAGGATTTAAGAGGTCTGGTCTGAAAAACGGGTGTGAAAAATGAAATTGTCTGGTCTGAAATAGGGTCAGGGTTTGGAGAACAGGATGGCACACTCCCACCAAGAATTTCCTTCCCGGACCAAGGTCCCAAGAATGACAGGAATGGAAACATCTGTTTACAAAAGAACAAATAAATTCCATTTTGCCTGCCATTTACCTTTGATTGTATTCAAATCAAAAAGAAAAATTCAGAGGGAATAAGATTAAAGCCACCGTAATTTGCGTATGGATTTCTTCACAAGGGTTTTAAACACCAACCTGGATGCATTTCATGCGAGTGTAAGCCAGCTCATCAAAGGGCCAAAAAATGTCAAATAAAACCACCTCTGCTCCTTGCATCTTAAGTTCATTTCCTAGCTTGTGACCAAAGTAGCCTCCGCCTCCCGTAAGAAGGACTTTTTTCCCACGAAATATTGCAAACAAATTCTTCTTTAAATTGACCTGCTCACCCTCCATATCGTCTAACCTACCATCGAGCCCCAGCCATTACATAACCAGCAAAGAGTCCGCAATACTATTATTCAGCAGATAAAACCACTAGACCACGCGCAGATGTCCTAATATGGCTAGATAAGGCGAGATTTAACAGAAATATACAGAGGAAAATATGGGCGAACCTGAGTGTACCATCGACATTTTGGCTATTTGCGATGAGTGGAAGCCCTCGAAGGGTGGTTTGTCTGCTTTTAATAGAGAATTGGTTATCAATTTGGCAAAAGTATCTGGGGAAAATGTCAATATACATTGCTACGTGTCCCAAAGCGATGATGCGGACAGAGAAGACGCTGAAAAAAATGGAGTGAACTTGTTGACGGCTAAGAAAATACCAGGAACGGAAAACCCTCATGAATGGCTGAAGTTTCCACCACCAGAATTACCCAATATTGACATAGTTATTGGCCATGGTAGGAAATTTGGATTAGCCGCCTGTTTTATAAAAAAAATCATGAATAAGTTAAAATTGCCATGCAAACTGTTGCAGTTTCTGCACGTATGTTGCCTTGAGCTTGGTAAGTACAAAACGTCGAGAGCGGACGATACAATCCAGGAAAACGAAGGAAAGCACAAAGATGAAGTAGCCCTCTGTGAAGAAGCCGATGCCGTTGTATCAGTGGGAACGGCGCTACAGCAGAACTACCAAAGATTTCTACCAGATGTCGAAGTACATGCTTTCACTCCAGGTATTTTTGACAGTTTTGTGTCGAATCAGCCTCTCCAGCAGCTACCTTTGGCAGAAGATGAGGAATTCTTATGTCTGGTTTGTGGTCGAGCGTCCAAGGAAGATCGTTATCTCAAAGGTTATGACATTATCGCTGATGCGATAGGAAATCTTGGAAAGAATTTTAAGTTGGTATTTGTTGGTTCGCCTGCTGGTAAACAAAGAAAACTAGAGAGGTGGTTCCTAAAGGAAACCAAGATAAAACGCGAGCAACTGACCATTCGCGGCTATGTTGACCAAAAGCAGCTGAAAAAACTGATTCGCACCTCAGACATGGTTGCACTTCCATCTCGTACAGAAGGTTTTGGTTTGGTTGCTCTGGAAGCCATTTCGGCTGAAACTATTGTTCTTGTATCAAAACAAGCTGGTATCTCCCGGGCCCTCCAAACCGTAGAGGGTGGTAGTTCTGTTATTGTTGAATCACATGATGATCCTGACGAATGGGCTAACAGAATCCGACAACTGTCCAATCAGACCCTTCAGGAAAGACGTGAAAGAGCTGTTTGTCTTCGCAAAAACTACGCGAAGAAGTACTCTTGGGGAGAAGAATGCCAGAAACTACTGACCTTGATTAAAACATTAGTGATAAGAGGTATGTCGGCTTGAAAAGGTTTTAAAAAACTGTCTAATTTCACCATAGTTAGTGGTTTCACTATATAGAGTCCGGAATATCCTTAAATTTAAGGACAGGGCCAACTGGTCACGCGACACTTTTCAACCAATGAGAAGGCACGCTTGTGTTTATCAACAAACAAATCAAAACATCGCCCCAGTGATCAAAAATTTTCAAAACAACAGACAGAGTTGGACAGAATCAGTCATCGTTTCGAGGTTCTCAGGCATATTTTTAAGACTTTTCATGAGGCATACACAATTTTTTTAAGTGGATAGTGTATCGGAAGTCATATTTGAAGTGTCTTGTGAAATATTCAGCACATTTTGTGGCTTATTCTTCTTTTATCTTTTAAACAACGCGATGTATAGGAGAGATTTTGGTCGGCTTTCAAGGCAGGTGAACAAGTATCTGTTGTGTTTTCGATTCACAGATTTTTTACGAAGTTCTAGATATTTTTCCTCAATTGCCATATCGATTAACTTTTATCATGTTGAATGTGGGGGTGGAAGACAACCTAGAATTTTGGTAGACAATTTTTGAATTCCGAGGTCCAAAACACGTACGTTTTCCACTCCCGGGTTTCTCACAAAAGCCGTGTTATTACTTTTTTTCGCATTAGTATGAGCCTTTGCCTTTTTTCTTTTCAAGGCCAAAACAACTTTATTAGTCTTATGGATATTCACATCCAACATCTCGCCTCACTTTGCCAAATTTGCGGGGATGAAATTGAAGATCATAAGCACAAGGTAGATACTAACCACTTTGTTTCTGAAATTCACTGATCTGGAAAGATTTAATGTTGTTGGATTCTCCAAATGTTCATCCGCCGTTAAAAAACAATAAAAGAAACAAGGCAAATCTCAATTGTAAATGCTGTATTTCGCTACTCATTGAACATGCGCTGATTATCTGGGATAAAATTAAAACATTGCAGGTACTACAGCAAGCAAAGAAAGCACCAGATGTGTGAAGTCAATATGAAACAACACAAAAAAACACACCAAAAAAAATTAATAAATTTGAACTACTTTCTATTCTTGTTATGATGACTGGTTCTTTGATTCTTGTCCTGTAGAAGTTAATAGGTAGTACCAATGCTGTTCTGTACGATCTCGACAAATTTTCACACTCTCTCTAAGGCTATTTTTACACGGGAAGAGTTTGCTTCTATCAAAAATCTTGCAAGCCATGCCAGTGAAGCCACGACCTCTGCGATCGGTCTGGAATCAGTTCGAAACCCCAATGATTCCTTGCAATGATTAATGCTCTTATTCTCTTACATAACATGTTTTCTTTGAAATATTAAATGTGAAACCTAGACGAGTACTGTAAGCATGGTATGCTCATCTTTAATTCTGTCCAACTCCGTCCATTGTTTTGAAAATTTTTGATCACTGGGGTGATGTTTTGATTTGTTTGTTGATAAACACAAGCACGCCATCTCATTGGTTAAAAAGTGGCACGTGACCACTTGGCCCTGTCCTTAAATTTAGGGATATTCCGGACTGTATAGATAGTCTCATCCTTGGGAAACCTGCAAATTATATGACAATTTTTTTAGATGGTGCTCTTTAATGCCTTGCTACCAGAATTTGATATGGAGGCAGTTCCTCTAAAAATCTCTCCTTCAAACAGAAAGACGGACAGATCACTTTAATAGCAACCCTTCTATACACCTTTCTTTGGGCAGGGGGGTTTGGGGGGGGATTATACTGTATTTATTTGTTGTCAGTTTTGTTTGTTTATCAATGAAACATTTGGAACATGTTGGTTACTGCTGATTTCGATTCGAAAGCATTGTGGATCAGTAATCCAGCTTTCCAAAGTGAGTTGTTACTTGAAGTCTGTACAATGTGTAATGCATTTAGCAGAATCATAGTCAGTGGAGCAAACATCATTATTTTAATTGACAGATGAACTATAAGAATGTGTTTTGATTGGCAGTCATGCCAGTGATCAGAATTTAATTTAATACCCTCAACTAATTATACACAATTCTTCTGATGATGGTTACTACACATGTTGTCAAAATGTTGGTCACTGTCAACAAAAACACTCACCTGGATGATCATATTCCACCTACTTCTTAACAATGAAATGGAGGCACCCTTTGATTTTCTAAAATGTATGTTTCTAAATATCTACATGCATAGGTGATAACAGCCAGCCCTCAGAATCAAACATGAATGCCACCACAGCAGCTGCCCGGGTAAACAGAAAACAAACTCGAGCTGAGGTTGATGGTCAGATTCAGAAAAGCATTCCAATGTACTTACAAGCAGCTCTCTGCCAATGTTTTGAAAGGGTGAGCCATGCCTTGAGATGGGGCTATGTTTCTCTACGAGATGATCCTGTGACAGGCAATGAGCGACTGTTTTTAAAAGTTGGCAGTTCCAGAGCCTATCAAGACTATGATCAAGAACAGGGAGAGCATCCATTGCAACCAGGGGCAGTGAGATTGAACAAATTCTTTACAAAATATGGGCTCTCAGAGGCAAAAAAGGCTCATTCACTATTAGACAAATGTATGTACGCGGCTTTACTTTTTGTAGCCATAGCAATGGTGATCTTGGGAAAGCTATGCTCAAATCACTCAGAAGATTCCAGAGCTTTAATTGGTGTTATCGGTGGTCTTATATGTTGTATTATATTAAACACTCTTGAGAAAAACAGGGCTCTCCCTTTGAAAAATAACAGAGGGAGAGAAGCAGTGACTGGAAACATGTCTGCTCTTCGCAGGCTACTCAGCGGGTGACTACGATAAAACTCTCTCCTCTGCAGAGGCCTCTTTGTGTTGTGGGGAGGCTGGGGAGAAAGAAAAAGAGAGCATGCGGGGAATGATGGGAAGGGAGAAGAGAGGCCTCTACCATATAATGTGCAGTTCTCTGACCAGATTTGCGGTTCTGTGGTTTTGGCCACACCAGCCGACTATTTTGATGTTTTTGAACGCTGTTGTGAAGATAATAGTATAAAGGGTAGTATACGCAATCTGATGGGGTTTCAATTCTGTTTCACGGATTTTTTACAATTCATGTTTTTGGAGCTGTCGTCCACCGTCTTGGATAATCATGTTCAGAGTTGTCAACTGTAGTTCTCTCCATTTAAGGGTCGAAAACTAAGGTGAGGCCCAATTCCAGTGAATTACTCATATTTCAAAACAATATTAGTCTGTAGCTGCAAGGAAGCCTTTCTTTGATTTCCAAGTCCAAGCTTGGAAGCATCGAACAAAGCCGGGGGACTTTGAACAGTAATAATTTAGACTTTGAATTCACCTTGATTTTAAGGATGTACTGTAGGCTTATATACGTACTATGTAGACGTTTATCGTTAAGATCACCTTAATAGTTTGGAAAACTACACTCAAATCAGGTATTTTTGTCTCCAAGACCAGGGTTGCTGAAATGAGAAAAGATTCAAATAAAAAAAATTCAATGTCAGCACTGACTGTATAAAACACCAAACAGAATTTCAGAGTACTGATTAACAGCATTTTCTTAGTTTTGAACGTACCAAGTCAGCGTTTAGTTGAGCTATTTGAATGTAGCCCCCTAATCTCTGTTAAGATGCTTGTGGTGATAATATCGTGTGATTTTTATGGTAGAGGTCATGATAGTTCCTGAACGAGTTACAGTCTTCATGTGATTTACTCAACCCTTATTTTACTGATGGAGACATTTAATTTTATTTTATCACTTGTGAGTCTGTGGACAAGTCAAGATCGTACATTATGATGTTATTATTAAAATATAACTTCTTCAGTGTTTTTTAAATTGAAATTTACCATTTGCCTTGATTTTGAAGTGAGGTGCTTTTGGGCCTCAGGGAAACAATTATCCAACCTAACACACTGAGGATGTTTTGCATGATGTATTTCTTGCTATTGCAAGTTGTTTATCAACCAGTACAACTGGGTATCAACAATGTTATTCACAATAAAAAAAATCACACAGATTGACAAGCTGACAAAGATGTAGAGGAAGCGCAAGTTGTAAAGAACTCCTGTATCAGATCTAAAATGGGACTCTCCCCAAACCCGGAGAGAGAAAGCCAGGCTCGTCATGTTCTACAGGGGCACCCATGGTCTTGTAGACATACCACCCCTCAAAGACTTACTCCCCATGCCATGTTAGAACACTAGAAATTTCCACCCAAACAAGTATCAACCCCTGACCTGCAATACCAACTGCTATGTGGGAACATTTTACCCCTCCACTGCCAATCTATTGAATGCTCTCCCTCCCGCCACATTGGACCAGCCGAACATTGCTAAATTCTAAGATGAGCTTGACCGATTGAAAAAAGGGGAGAGTGAGAGAGTAGGAAGAAAGGCTCTCTTTTCCTCCTTTCTCCTTATGCCTTTCCTCTTCTCTTTTGGACGCCTGCTAGGCAGGATACCTCATAAATACGTCTCTTTATGTGTCAAGCTCTCTATACGCAATGCTTGCTTTCTATTTAAGTCTTAGAATGACGATCTCTAGTATGAAATTTAAATTAACCTTCTAGTTTAATTACAATCAACTATCAACCATCATCTCAGGTTAAAAAATTATAAAGGGACATATAAAAATTAATAAAACAAAGGAATAAGCTATTAGCCAATCAGAGGAGAACTTACGAAAGCTGCTACATCACTGATTATTTCGCCATTTTTTGTTTTCACAACCAAAACAACTCAACCTCGTCCCCAGGTCTTCTCGGTTAACGATGCATTAACCTGCAAGGAAGCTGCACTTTTGACATCATTGGTTGATTAATTGCAAAATTCTTCCAAATTTGGTCATCAGTAGCTGGTTATGGTGAATTAAGCGTGTGCTTTTAGCCAATCAGAATCGGGGAAATATTTTGAATGAATAATAACTTTACTTAATTTGCTCGTGTCGGAGCTGGTTTTCCTTTCGATTCCTTACTGCTCTTCTCTTCGTATGTGAAATGTCTCCACTTTAACTTTTCTTCGAAGTCTAAAATGATCAACACTCGATAAGGATATACGGGAAGGGAAACAAAGGTCAGCGTGGTGTTACTTCAAAATACTGTGAACACTCACTGTGGAAACGCCTGTCCAGACTTCCCTTTTTTGTAGATTTTTTCTTTCTTCACTTTGCCTTTCATGCGAAGCTAAGCTTTTTAGTCTGGGGTCATCAGAATCCTGACATGACAAAAGTGTAAAGGGAATACATTATTATATTTTTTTAACGCATCTTTCCCATTTTAATGTTTATTTTACCACTTTTAATGTCTTCAATCTACCTTATATCATGAAATGTGTGCACTAGTTACTGCATGATGCGCGCTCAAACAGTTTCAGATTATTTGCACACTCACATACGTACACAGCCAACCTCTACGCCAGTTCTTTTAAACTTTTCCAACAGATACTTACAAGATCCAAGGCACTCTTAGTTTTATCTGTCTGTTCCCCGGTACTTGTACCAGTTCCTTTTCCAATCAGTATTTGCTGATTGAACGAAATACACTTTTTCTCTCGGTAATGTCAATTAGGCGTTTGAAAAATCTAGAAATTCGTTTTGCAAAGGTTGTTTATGTTCTTTATTTTACTTTGGATAAAATGCCTGCTTGAATTTTACTGTTTAAACAATTTTCATGGCCTAATTATATTAACACCAGAAGTGTTTTAAATGTACATGTATATGTGAACTGTAAATCAGGAACAATACCTATCCTTTGAAGTTGAAACAATATTTCCCGGGTATTGCCACAAGCCATTCAAGTAGTTTTCAGAAAAATAGTTTAATGACCATATCCCCAGTTAGCTGGCAAGGTCAGTTGATTAGAGCCGGCTGCACCGGTACTGCAGAAGCCAGGGTTAGATTCCAACTAATCTGAACTTTTCACGCATTCTTTTCGTAACTCCATAAATGGCATATCTCCGGAACTAAGATGATCTTCTCTGTGTTTAAGTACAACTTGCAATAATGTTTGTTTGTTTGTATACTGTTGTCGTTGTGTTTTTAAGAGGAAAAAAAAAGACAAAAACTTCTACTGTTTTTGACCATGCGATCTACATCCGACGAAAGTGCGTAAATCCGTAAGAAATTGGCGATTTCTTAATTTATTTGATGTTCCTTTTCATCTCCTGTTGAAAACTGGAGAATAACTGAAGATATAGTAGATATGTTCGCTCTTTTTAATGTTTGCATGCGGGTTGAGGTTCTCATCCATTCCAAATGTGGCGGTCACTGAACTGCAACAAATCGTCAGTCTCCACTTTTACTTCTGATGTGTAGTGAGTATACTGCAGTTACGTTCCTTTAATCTTTAATCTTTAATCACAGTTCGTAACCATACATAACTGATACAAATGAACTAATACTAACTGATATATAATCGAACAGAAATACAAAACTGGTTAACAGGACGGTAGTAGGGGGAAACCAAATTCCCATGCTAAGACATACCTTCCAAAAAAGAAAAAAGAAAAAAAAAAATTAATATATAAATATATATTAAAAGACTATAAATTAGACTATAAATTATAAACCTAGATGCCTAATAATAATGCATAAACTTATATTAAAGACACTATGCCTAATATTTTAAGGTAAATTATGAGCGAAGGTACTTAATCAGTGAAACTTTAAAAGACTGAAGGCTAGGAGATGACATTACTTCAGAAGGCAAAGAGTTCCAATCATTAATATATCTATGAAAAAATGAATATTTAAAATAATTTGTTCGGGCAACTTTAGGCCTTATTTTATACTCATGCTTACTTCTAGTTCGAGTTATTCCAATAATATCAAAGTAATGATGGCAATTCCCCTTCTATACGTAGCGTCTCATGTGCTGATGTCTTTTACGTCAATTAAACACTCAAGCAAGAGAGAAATCGTTCTCTCTTGATTCGCGATGTGAAACGGACGAAAGCTTTTGGTAAGTTTGATTACTGAATTTTGTCCTTGAATTAAATTACTTTGTAACAGTTCCCCTATGCGGTCGTACGTCCATGACTTAGCCATTTTTTCCCCTTAAGCCTGCATGGTTTTCACACCGAAGCGAAGCAAGCCCAAGCGCGGGCCAAGCACAAGTATTTTAATCCTTCTGAAACTTATTTTACCACCTTTGCGGTGGCCTTCATCTCAGTGACACAGCACTCGCATACTTCCGTTTGTGCCGCATTCTTTAGACTTGTGTTGCTGTTAGCCTGAATTTCATCCGATTACTTCTAGTCGTTATTACTGCCTCAGTTGTTGAGAGGAGAAAACGACTCGAAGCAATCGGATGAATTTCAGGTTAGTTGCTGGTTAAATCCAGATTAGATTTAGCTAGTTGAGTTGCCCTGACTAGGAAGTGCAGTGCTACCGAACCCGGTCTGTGCGCGCGGTAGAATACTCTGAAACAATCCTTCTGGTTAGAATGCTCTTTTGTAAAGAGTTTTCACGATCAGGCCACGAACCGTGTGAAATAACATGATTTTCAGGTGCGTCAAGTTCAACAACATAGCTAAAATTGAATTTTTGAAAATGTACTTAGATTACTTTTTCATGGCACAGTCATATCTTCCATTAGTAAGATATCAAACTAAAATGTTTTCTAGGTTAAACTCTTTTATATCACGCTTCACTGGCGCTTGAGGTTCATGCATTTTATTGCTGGCCTATCAACGGTTTGGAAAGCTACAGTAAACACCCGAATATTAGAACACATGATTTCGGGATTCAGGCTGATCTTGTTCTTATTTATCGGGTGCTTAGTAAGAAACCAGCCTGAAGATGTTCTTAATATGCTCTTGAACATTGTTTCAGAAATACTACAAAAGTAGGTTGAGTTTGATCGTCCGGGTGATAGGACAACCTGTGCGCTAGTCATCTTCAGAGTGAAAGTGAGTTGTATCACGTCAGCTGATGGTATTATACTCTGGTTATTGATTTGATTGGTCAATTACGTCGTGATGTTATTGGTCGTCTGTCAGTTAAGCCGTCATGTTATTGGCTATGAAGACTCGTAATCAGTAATTGGTGCGTTTCGATCCGTCTATTGTCACAGTTGAACAGTCGTCTATTGTTAGTCAAATTGTCATTCTCTCGTAGTTAGTTTTACTTGATCTCATCAATAAGTCGTTTGTACGGCGCTGGTAACTGACTCCTGGGCGCTGAAATGACTCCTGGGTTCAAACCTTTCACAGAAATACTACACATAACATGTTACTAGAGGTTTAGTTAGCATATTTTATCATAAATAAGTAAGTAAGAAAGTAAACAAATCTGTAAATCAATAAATAGAATAAAAATATTGTAAAATATTTTGTAAATATCTAGCTGTAACCATAGTTACATTGCTTTCTTATTCCAACGCCCTCTCCCTTATTATATAAGAACATGTATTGTTTATTAGGCTGAACTGGTTCTGAAATTTTAGCCTTTGCCTATTTTAGCCATTTGTTCTTATATGCGAGTGTTTACTGCATGTATGTGTTTTTACACAAGGTTTTTACTTTTATTAGGGGGAAAGGGTAAATAACGGGACGAACGCGATCTTTCTACTAGTTTTCCACTAACTTCAAGGAAATTGGTCCCAGCCCTAGGGGCTTTGAAGAGTCAAAAAATGTAAGGAATACACGCTTCATGGCACCCTCAGTATACACCTGCAGAGTATCATTTAGAGGCTACAATATATTTTTCTATGTTCTATTTTAGATGTATGACAAGTTGAATATTTGATAATGGCGTCGTTATAGACATCTCACAAAATCAAAGTCACTATTTTGGCTTCTTAATGGGGATCAAGCAAAGGGGGGCTTTCTACCATGAACAGAGAGTTAGCCATTCATTTAGCCAAATGTCCTGAAGTGGAAATCACTTTCTTTTTACCACAATGCAGCCAAATGGACAAGGAAGAAAAAAGGAAGCCCACGTAAACAAGCACAAGTCATCAAAGACTTCAAAAAATGTAAGTGGATTCAGGTTGTGCACACAGACCCATAGGAACTTGGGATGTTTAAAAACTACTCCAACCCAATTTCAAAAGGCGAAGAAAAGCACAAGACGGAAGTAGAACTGTCAGCGGTGTGAAATGGCGGATTCTGTCGTAGGAGTTGGACCCAAGTTAAGCGAGGCCTTTCGCTCATATCTTCGCAGCAGCAATAACGATGATAATGTTCTTGACGTCACCACTGGAGAATTTGAAGTGTTTGAGGCTGTGAACTAGGTTCCTCATGAAAGACAACAAAGCGATGTCTTGGTGTTTGGTCGTGGAGAAGTTGAAGATTTTGAATTATTTAAAAGGATTTGACGTCGCTGGGAGAGCGATTGCTGCATTAAAAGATACTCGTCTTGTGTTTGTTGGAGCCACAGAGGGAAAACATGAAGAAATAGCTCAACGGTTAAACAGATGTGGTGTTCCTTTAAGTTGCTTGAGCGTGAGAGACTTTGTTCAAGACCGAGAAAGTTTAAAGCGGTTGTTTCAGGAAGTGGATCTTGTAGTTATGCCTTCAAGAACAGAAGGCTTTGGGTTCAGGGGCACCCAATGGATCTGTTCCTCAAAATATCTGTTCTTCAGGCAAATTTTTGCTGGCTGGGAGATTTGGAAAAAATATGTCCTTGGAAATTGGAAAATTGTGGGTGTCTGAGGTTATTTGATGTGTAGAATAGCTGCTGTGCGCTATCTGTCAGAAACCTCTTAGCCCTTTCCCCCCACCCCCAATGAAGGGGTGAATTTAGCCCTTGGGCCACAATATGGCCTACGTCTGCTGGGAAACTTCCCTGTAAGTCAGGTTGCAGGTTGAAGGTGCACCTTGCTGGCTGGACACCTCTTCATCAGTTTTGCTGGGAGTGAGGAACAGCTACATTTTTCCCAGCAGTCTCCCAAAAAAGGATGAATAAAGATGTCTTAATTCAGCACATTATAAGGAAATATTGAAACGTAATCCCAAACAATTTGCCTTAACGTCAGAGCAAAAAACTCACTCGAACGATTTCCTTTTGCCTTTCAATTGCAAAAACTGTTTAGTGTGTGTAATTTCTTTATTTCTTATGCATTGTACTCACTTTCCGTCTCCTCAGTACCACCTTTTTATTTTGGAAATCAGCGCTACCTACAGATTAGTTCCTTGTCTAGTTATCTTATAGCAGGTAACTGTCTAACCTGTAGGTTGTACACTAATAATATTATAAAAATGCTGTTCTTTTCAATATTATTTTGAATTTTTCTCCCGGGTCTAGTTAACTTACTACACCTTGTTTTGTTTGAAACAAGATGGGCTTCCGTTGGTTTTGTGACACCTGTATAGCGTACATCAGTGTATACGGATGCTGCTAAAACAGAGCAAAAAGGAACATATGGTAAAAATGGATAGACTCAGTCATTAAGAATGTGTTTTTGAGAATGAAAGCTCATTGTTACATCACCCCGCTCAGCAACGAACTAGTTGATTTAAATCTAATTACTATCTGAGTAATTTCACTAATTATCAACTTAGTTTCCTCTAATTGCTCTGATTCAGTGCAGTCGAAACCTTTGAACTAAGGGTGCAGCGGCCACGTAGTAATTTTCACGGAGTTATAATAACTCCTCTAGTGACGTTAAGTTAACTCCTTACAATGGAGTTATTTTTTGGGGAGTTATTTTAACTCCAAAAAGGAGTTTAAAGAACTCTTTTTCAGGAGTAAAGATGACCCCAGGTATCGAGGAGTTAAAATAACCCCAAAAAAGGAGTTATCCTGTACCTTAAGTTTTTATTCCACTTTCAGAGTTAAAGCAACTCCAAAAGGAGTAAAAATAACCCCATTTTCGGATTTATTTTAACTCCAGAATGGGAGTAAAAAGAACTCTTTTTCAGGAGTAAAAATGACCCCAAATTTGGAGTTAAATCAGGGGTTAAAGTAAACCCAAAAAAGGGGTTTTCCTGTACCTAAAATTTTTACTCCATTTTTGGAGTTATAATAGCTCCCTAAAAATTAACAATAACTCCCTAAAAATTACTGTGCAGTTTATCTGATAGCAACTGATAGACCACGCAGCAAGCGTTCATGTGCAAAATGTCTAGACGTACAGGAATACTTGCTTTGTGCCTTTTTATTGCAAGGTGAAAAGATTCCCCTTTCTACATTTTAATCTGATAAAAGGCCACCTTTAGACCATCTGGAAAAAGGGATAACTATCAACCTCTTCACCATCAAAATTCAACTTAAAAATGTTTCGGTTTGGTTTTTTCATTTTCCCGTTCTCCTTTCTCCATTTCCTGTTCTCATTTTAAAATATCCTATGAATTTCGTTCTAGCATTCATATTTCAAAATTATCTTTCTGTATCAAAGTGACTCATTCATTCCTAAGAAGTCTGTTCCACCTGATATCGAAGACAGGGATTTCAAAGTTGAATATAAAGTTCAAGATGTTGGGCTGCTTCACGCTGTTACAAAAAGTGGAAATATTGAAATCATTGCGTCGTTGCTGTCTCAAGGATTTGAAGTTGATTCAAAAGACAGGGAAGGTGTAACTCCACTGATGTAAGTAGCCGAGAGCAGTAAAGAAGTTGCCTTTCAGATGTTGATACAAAAAGGCGCTAACGCATGTTTGAAAGACAACAAAGGGTCCAGTCTGCTCCACAGGGCTGCAACAGGTGGAAATACTTCCATTATCAACAAACTGTTATCACTTGGTCTTGAAATAGATACAAGGAGTGACGACGGTTTCACTCCACTGATGGCTGCAGCTCTTGCTGGTAAACAAAGTGCTTTTAAGATGCTGTTACGACATGGGGCTAATGTATCTTTGAAAGACAACTAGGGGGTCTGTCTGCTCCATTGGGCTGTACAAGGTGGAGATACATGCATTATCAACACGATGCTATCACTTGGTCTTGAAACTGATTCAAGGAACAATGATGGCATCACTCCACTGATGAGAGCAGCTCTTAGAGGTAAACAAAGCGCATTTCAAGTGTTGATACAAAACGGTGCTGATCTAACTTTGAAAGACAACAACGGTTGCAGTCTGCTCCACAAGGCTACCCAAGGTGGAAATACATCCATTGTCAACGAGCTGTTATCGCTTGGTCTTGAGAGAGATTCAAGGAACACTTACGGTGTCACTCCACTGATGCCTGCAGTTTGTTGATCAAGTAAGAAAGAGAGGTGTGGATCAGGATTTTGAGAGTTTAAAAGACACAGCGTTTTATTACAAGGCCTGTAGAAGGCACAAGTGTAATAATTGGACCCAAGTGAAATAAAGGTCCCATCTGTAATAACATTTGGACCCAAGCGTAATAAAAGTCTCACGCGTAATAACATTTTGAGCCCAAGTGTAATAAAGGTCCTATCTGTAGTAACATTAATTTTGGACCCAAGTGTAATAAAGGCCGTATTTGTAAAAGTTACCTTTATACTCAAACTGGTAATATACCAACAACAAATTATGGCCAATAAGAGGTAAAGAGTGTGAAATCACGTGACCTGCGGAAACCAACCTCTGCCGTTTAATTTAATAATTTAATCTCCATGGCTTTCATGTCACTGTCAAACTGAATTTTACACGTTGTAGTTTGGCTAGAAAAGTATTTACTATTAGATAAACGGAACTGGCCATTAAAAAAAGGCCATTGTCACTTAGAACTATTAACCAAAGAAAATATGTGCTCAGTACTGCTTTACTGCGTTCTTACGAGAGTGTTTTTTGTTGTTGCGGGCGACAAGAGGAGCCGGCAATCCTAATGTCAAGGTTGTTATTACGCACCCATCGCATGTATGTAGTCAGCTTTCGTTTGGACTTCCACTAAGAATGAATGGAATGCACAGAACACATTTTGATCGTGTGCGTTTGGACCTTCTGTCACTCGTAATCTTATCACGCGTGTTTTGACCATCTGTCACGTGAAACGTACGCAAAGTACAGCGCTGGAGCAAAACCTTCGATCGTTATCACCCGCACTCCATAACCTTTGGCTATTACTAGTTATAACGTTAAAATTCTTATGTTATCTTTATTCGGAGGTGTCTCTCACTATCTTTCAAGAGCTCCAAAATATCGCTTTATGATAAGCACCATAAGACTAGCTGAGAACAATGATACAGAGGCGCGTGACAATATTTTGCAAATTGGCCATCTTTTTTCTTTTTTGGTGTCAGGTGAGAATTTCAATGTAAGAGCTCCAAAATGTCGCGCTGATTATAAGCAAAGTAAGACAAGCTGAAGACGGTCCAAATGTTATTACAGATACCACCTTTATTACGCTTGGGTTCAAAATGTTATTACGGATGGGACTTTTTATTACGCTTGGGTCCAAATGTTATTACAGATGGGACCTTTATTACACTTGGGTCCAATTATTACACTTGTGCCTTAGGCTTCGTGGTCACAGTTCAAATGGGGTTTCACGAGTCATAATGAGAGCTGGTCGTTTGTAAGTGTCTGGTCCCAAGAACTTCAACTGCATTACATTTCAGTTTGCATCTTCAAGTATTTGTTTTCCTATGGTAATAACAAGCACAATAAATTATTATTATAATTTTGGAAGGAATTATATCTGACCTTCAATGACAAGTTTGGTTCCTAGAACATTCACCATCTCTATCTTCCTTCTGTTTAACTGAGAAAAAAAAGGTTACAGTCTAAAAAATGAGGAGAACATGTTGTTTTGGCCATGTTTCCTGTTTACCGGCATAAAAGAAATGATTGTTTTAATTTTCAAACAAAATAGGTCTGCTGGTAATCAGGTGCACCTCCGACATCTCGGCCTTTACATATTTTACACTTGATGACTATAAGTTTGATTTTATGGGAATACAAAATTTACCCTGTGAGCAGAGGTTTCTCCCTTCCATGGCTTTTAACATTAACAAAGTAATTCACATGGCTTATCAGTCCTGTACTTGGCTTGCTTTGCGTTTGGTGGGTTTGATATTGAACAGGTCTCTACATTTAAGCTCCTTGGTGTCCATCTTTCTGAGGACCTCACTTGGGCAGTGCACTGTGACTACATAGTGAAGAAGGCCAACAGACGGCTTTATGCACTGAGACAACTCAAGAAGTGCAAAGTTCCATCGGCTGATATTGTTCATATCTACTGTGTGCCAATTTCCTCTATACTAGAGTACGCCTCCGCTGTCTTTGCTGTTTTGCCTTAGTAAATATCTTGCTTGCTATCTCGAGGACGTGCAAAAAAGAGCCCTTTCCATCATTTGGCCTGGTATTTAGTATGAAACAGCACTTGACAAAGCTGCATTATCCACTCTTTCTGACCGTCGGACAGTCTCGTGTATTAAATTTATAGGTAAGGTTCGGCCAGGTAACCCGTTATACCCACTAATACACAACAGAGTGGTACCTATATCTACCAGTGTGTGTCTAAGATATGTCAGGGAGTTCTAGCAGGCCCATGGCCACAAGGACTGAACGTTTCTCAAATTTTGTTAGTGTTAAATATTAATCTTGCCAATCACTGTAGCGTATTTGTATATTTATCACAGCTTGTAAGGTATCCTGCAATTCAGCCTTCCGACTGCAAAAGGGACAATAAACCAGTGACTTGATTTGAAAAGAGAAACCTCTGCTCTGAGGTATACAAAATTGAGGTTATCTGTTGCAATCCACTGCAGACTGCCTGATCCTTGTTTTCACTTCTAAAAAAGGTTTGAACCATCATCTTCCACCCCTTAAATCACATACCTGTTCTCTGACAGACATTCCATGAAATACCGTATCAAACTGATGGTTACTGAATACTTGTTCCACATCTTCCTTCTGGGTTAAATCTCCCTGAAAACAATGATTTGAATAAGGGTTGAGCAGAAAGGTAAAATAAATCCCTACAAGATTCAAAAAAGATAATTCTTAAAAGGATTTTATTTCTTGAGCTCTGTGTGCATAGTAAAAAATTTGACCAAGCATTTAAACTGCCTCTGAGACAACCACGCTACTTATGTGTGCATTCAGGGTGCAAAGAAAATCATTTTTACAGCTTGCCATTTTGGCAAGCCTACTGGATTTTTTGACTTTCAGGCTCATATTGAGTACCAGCGACTGTAATGTTGACATCTCTGAACAACTTATATACCAGCTAAATAACCTCGTTCTTTGTCGTTTATCCACGACTCTAGCTCTTTCATGGCCTGCCGAAATTTTTTTGGTTTATTGTGTACACCATAATGTTGGTAACTCGTTGCTTCGCTTAACCGTTTTTGGACGTGAGTCTTGTTTAAAGTCAGTGTATTCTTTGGAATAAAGCACGTGCTATGAGATAACACAATTTCTGGTGTACATCATTCCCTTCGGGCGAATTCTTCAAACAAGTCCAGAAAACTCCGAAAAGCTAGGAAACGGTTCGTTCAATTACGATCTTTCATCAGAAGCCTGAAAAAACATTTCACCAGGCTTGAAGACACCTCAAAATTGCATTTTTTCCTCCCACCTCTTTCTCAGACAATCATGGACAAACGTCTTGGAACACTTTTGCATTTCTGGGGTGTTTTCCAATTCATGGACGTCCAACCCCTCCCCTCAGCCCACAAACAACGTTGGACACGTGTATCCAGAATGTTTTCCGAGTTTCAACTTTGTATAGGGTGGGGGGAGGGAGAACTACAAGAAAATTGCAAAAAGGATGCACTGTTTTAAGAGGGAACCGAGAATGACAGAAAAATATGAATATTGCAGTACTGTCCCTAATTGTAGCATTTACTAGCCCAGACGTCATTTCAACTAGCCCCAAAAGCTTTTTGACGAGCAGATTTGATTTCACAGTTCTTCTGTTATTCAAATTCCTCAAAAAACATCACTTGCCTGTTGGGCAAGTTAAAAACAGAATTCACTAGCCCGATAGCAAAATCCACTAGCCCCAGGCTATTGGACACTACTTTCTTTGCACACTGGCATTTCAAATATAAAATGGGCATGTCTATTTTTTTTACCAATTATCTGACAAGTTATTTGTTAAAAAACATTGAAAAGTGAATTTTCCAAAGAAAAATAATAACCACTATAGAGGTGAATTGAAGTGTAGTGAAGTGAATTGCCTCTTACATGGCATTTCCACGAAGACAACTGCTGCTTTGGCAATGTTATAAAACAATATGGATCTTACTGTTTGCTGTGTATACAATGAGTACCAAAGCATTTGTAGGAAGTTTGGAAAGCACTCAAGAAGAAACTTCTGGTGTGCTTCAGAATTCAATAAAAATCATTGTCAAGGCTGTGCTCTAAGAAAATTTATGGGAGCTCAGTGTGCTAAACTGTGAAATCCAGGGTACCCAGCATATTATTTCTATAAGAAAAATAAGTATTCCAAGTCACCCAAGCAAAAGAAGGTACACAGGTCACCATACAAAGAACAAGGGGTATCTCTGAATTTGTGTTTAATAGGGCTCAATCAACTTTATACAGGGCACACTGGCAGAAGTTCTAGTGGTCAAAGGCTTATAATAAAATATCATTGTTGTCTTCGCAGTGTGTTCACGTGGCATAGTGGCAACGAATTGGCCTACAGATTCCAGGTAATAATCTGTTTTTCTTCTTCTCTTCTCTTCTTTTCTTTTACGTTTAGTTTTCTTTTTAGTTATATTTGCAGTCTTGTCTTGTTTCTTTTTATAGCTTAAGTTTTTTAAATTTTCTTTTATTACCATTGCCTTATCGGCCTGCGATTGATGTTTTTCTAGTAACAATAGTAACAGTTGAGCCTCTGTATGGGTACCTGTGGATGTCCATTATTTCCATTATTTCTTGTATCTGAGCAACATGATTATTTTACACGAAGTGCATCTGCTCAGCAATTACACATTCCTCACTCAAGAATTAATATTCGAAAGTTTTGCCCTACCGTCATTGGAAAATACTTTTGGAACGATCTCCCTCTTTCTATTCGCAATAAATCATCGAAAATGCTGTTCAAAAAGGCACTTAAGAAATATTATCTTGCTCAATATTGACTTGTGTGCGTGTGTGTGTGCGTGCGTGTGTGTTTGTGTTTTAATGGATGACAAAACTACAAAAGAATAAAGTCAATCTTGTTGAAGGGCCATGATTAGTCTTACTATAATGTGCCCTTCTCCATTCTAATTTTCTTCTTAAGCAACTTTGTACCGATTGATATTGTACAACTATTGTATTATTGTACAACTAATGTATTATAGGATGGAGTAAAAATAAAATACAAAAATACAATTACCTGTGGATGTCAATTTTTTACACATTTTCTGTCAAATTGTGGGGTTTTCAGGTGAAACCGTCACATATCAAGAATTTTTTGCATGGTAATGCACAGCTACAATGATGAATAACTAAGCAAAACAAAAATGCTGAATATTCAGCACACTATTTGGCAGGTTTCTTTGCTGTTATTGCCTGACCAACATAGACAAACTTGATTGAAATGGCAATGTGATTGTCATTTTAATCTGTAAGATTGTTCCGTCATCAAGCGATTGTTGTGACTTCGAAATACCTTTCCAGAAGATTATTAGGTTAGCATATGACAGGGTAGCGGTAAGTACCTAATCTAGAAAGGGATAACACGATCGCAGAGTCCGAGGTCCTGGGGGGGGCACTCCCTTATATAAGCCATATAGGTATGTGCTGCATCAAAGGGTAGGGTTTTTGGGCCTTTTTGGTCTGAAAATGAGTGTAGACTTCGTCCATTTTGGTCTGGAATCGGGTTTGGTTTTCGAGGGTACCAAGGGAGCGTATGAAATTGTATATTTATCCTGTCAATTCCAAATGAATAAGAAAGAACTAGAAACATGAGAATTATTCAAAATGCATTTGAAGAAATTTTTTGTTTGCGTTCGAATCTAAGCAATCATGACATAATATTTCTGGTCTGAAAATGGGTATGGCTTTTAGAGGTTTGGTCTGAAAGACGCGTGTGAAAAATGACATTTTCTGGTCTGAAGTAGGGTCAGGGTTTGGAGAACAGGACGGCACACTCCCACCAAGAATTCCCTGGAGTACCAACCGGACCAGAGTCCCAAGAATGACAGGAATGGAAATATATGTTTACAAAAGAACAAATAAATTCCATTTTGCCTGCCATTTCCCTTTGATTGTATTCAAATTAAAAAGAAAAATTCAGAAGAATTAAGATCAAAGCTAGTGTAATCTGCTTATAGATTTCTTCACAAGAGTTTTAAACACAAACATGCTGACCCTCCATAAGTGCCATATTGTCTAACCATCCAGTCCCAGCCATTACATAACCAGCAAAGAGTCCGCAATACTACTATTCAGCAGATAGAACAACTAGACCATGCGCAGATTTCCTAATATGGCCAGATAACGCGACGTCACTGCGTCGAAGTACGGCGCTAAATTCGAGTATCTTGGGACGCTTATTTTTCGGCAGAAATATACAGAGGAAAATATGGCCGATCCTGAGCGTCCTATCGACATTTTAGCTATTTGCGATGAGTGGAAGCCCTCGAAGGGTGGTTTGTCTGCTTTTAATAGAGAATTGGTTATCAATTTGGCAAAAGTATCGGGGGAAAATGTCAATATACATTGCTACGTCTCCCAAAGCGATGATGCGGACAGAGAAAATGCTAAAAAAAATGGCGTAAACTTGGTGACTGCTCAGAAAATACCAGGAACGGAAAATCCGCATGAATGGCTAAAGTTTCCACCGCCAGAATTACCCAATATTGATATAGTGATTGGGCATGGTAGGAAATTTGGATTACCCGCCTGTTTTATAAAAAGAATCATGAACAAGTTCAAATTGCCATGCAAACTGTTGCAGTTTCTGCATGTATATTGCCTTGAGCTTGGAAAGTACAAAACGTCGAAAAGTTCCGAAGATTTTCCGGCAGGCGATTCAATCCACGACAATGAAGCAAAGCACAGAGACGAAGTTGACCTCTGTGAAGAAGCCGATGCCGTTGTTGCCGTGGGAAAGGCTCTACAGCAGAACTACCAAGGATGTCTACCAGATACTGAGGTACATGCTTTCACCCCAGGTATTTTTGACAGTTTTGTATCGAATAAGCCTCCTCAGAAGCTACCTCCAGCAGAAGATGAGGAATTCACATGTCTGGTTTGTGGTCGAGCATCCGAGGAGGATCGTTCTCTCAAAGGTTATGACATTATCGCAGATGCTATAGGAAGTCTTGCAGAGAATTTTAAGTTGGTATTTACTGGTTCGCCCGCTGGTAAACAAAGAAAAGTAGAGTCGTGGTTCCTAAAGGAAACCAAGATAGAACGCGAGCAACTGACCGTTCGCAGTTATGTCGACCAGAAGCAGCTAAAAAAACTGATCCGCACTTCGGACGTGGTTGCGCTCCCATCTCGTACTGAAGGTTTTGGATTGGTTGCTCTGGAAGCCATTTCTGCTGACACAAATGTTCTTGTATCCAAACGAGCGGGAATCTCCCGTGTCCTCCAAACGGTAGAAGGTGGAAATTCAGTTATCGTTAAATTACCTAATAATCCTGATGAATGGGCTGACAGAATCCAACAACTGTCCAACCAGACCCTTCAGGAAAGACGTGAAAGAGCTGTTTACCTTCGGAAAAGCTATGCAGAGAAATACTCTTGGGAAGAAGAATGTCGGAACCTTTTGTCTTTGATTAAGAAATTGGTGATGACAGGTACGTGGGCTGGTTTTTAAAAGTTGTTCAGTTTCACTAGCCTCATCCTCAGTAACCTGCAAATTATATGACCAAATGTTTTATATGGTGCTTTTTGACGAATTGAAATTCTTTTTACTGGCGTGTACTAAAACCCGAAACAACAAAAGAAAAGAACCGAAACAAGTAAAACGGCCAAAACAACGAAACAAAACTACTGACATGATCAAACATAACCTGCAAAGATCACTGGTTAGCGATGCACCTCACTCTTCACCACCAGGGGCAGTTTATGATCTCGCCCTATGAGCCCTGCTACGTAGCACCCCTCAAAAAAGAGCAGTTAAAATAAGAGCTATATAGGTATGTGTCACTGTGAAGGTATGGTTTTCAAGCAGTTTTCTCTGTGATAGGGTATTTAAATCAGAGAGTTTGGGTCCAGAAACACTCACCTGAATGATCATATTCCACCTAATTAATAATTAAATACAAGCACCCTTTGATTTTCTAATAAGTATGTTTACAATTTCTTTCTTTTTTTTATCTACAGGTGACGAGAAAAGCAATCAACCCTCAAAATCAAACAATAGTGCCACCCAAGCACCTCCCCAGATACCAGTAAACAGAAAACGAACTCGAGCTGAAGTTGATGATCAGATTCAGGAAAGCCTTCCAATGTTCGTACAAGCAGCTCTTTGGCAATGTTTTGAAAGGATG